TTTTTTTTTTTTTTTTGCTTGATGATGATGTCTAGTTGCATAACATCAGTTAGAAGTTACATAGCTTTTCCTCATTTTAACTTCTTAGTGCTGGCACAGCCATTGCCAGCAGTGAACTTGCACTAATACAGGCCAACTGAAACACACATTACAGAACATTTGAATGTCGTTTTATTAAGCGATGTCACAGTTTGTTTTCTCAGAAATTTAAAAGCATACATTTGAAAACATCCTATCATCTTTAATTTAACCCTCAGAGTTGAACAACCTTTTTTTACATCACTACATCTAACTTGTGGTTGATGTGGTTTAATTACCACTCTCTAAGGGAGGCAGTCCCTGGGTGGTGCAAACAGTTAATGCTGGGCTGCTAAGGGAAAGGTTGGTGGTTCAAGTCAACTCAGGTGCCTAGGAAGAAAGACCTGGTGATCTACTGAAAAATCAGCCACTGACCTGTAGAGCACAGTTCTACTCTGACACACATGGGGTCTCACCATGAGCTGTAATTAACTAGTAAGGGATCCCAAAAGCTAAACACTGCCCTGAACCTAGCCTATGGGACTTGAGAGCTGCCCTGGGAGCCCTAAAGTGTCATACCGTGTTCTAATGCACACCAGCAACAAGTGTCCTCAAATTTCTAGGCTTTAAATATTCAAACACTGCTTCGTTAGACAGTGCTGTGTATGGAGGTTTTGCTTCTTTGAAGAACCAAGTAACAATATGTAAAGACAGCAAACATTTTTTGTAGAAGAATTTGCAGTGTGTATACACCGTTCCACCTGTATTTAAGGACTTTAAATGAACTTTAATATGGATATGATAATGACAGGCATTAGAAGCTGCTGTTTGTTTTACTTACATTTCCCAAAATGGGCAAAATAGGGGTAAAGGTGAGGCAAAGTGTGCCACTGGTTCTGTCATACTAGCCTTCGGCTGTGTTGGGGAAGTCATTATACAAAAAGCGCCCATAAAATAGAGAAGGCAGCAAGTGAAACCACAGAAAGGTTGGCGCTTTATGAAGTACATTTGAAAGGAGTTACCTTTATTTATTGAAATTTTCTGAAATGAGACTGGGAGGGATGTTCAGGGGCATCTGGACTGGGCCCTCCACTACCACCCTGAAGTAAATCAGACATGCATGCCCATGAAGAGTCATCATGAGCACTAGAGACTGCACCCCAAGTGAGAAGAGCTGGTTCTCTAAAAAATTACGCTGAACAACAAAACCACAAATTAAATACAAGACACTGAAATCACTCTGATGAGACAACACAAAGATATTTTAAAACAAATAAATACACTTAGCCATTTTTATTCAAGAAACCCAGAAAACTGCTTTCAAAGCAATTGCTTCTTTAAACCACTCTCTGAATTCTTCCATTAATACTCACTATTTTGATTGTCACTTAATGCAGCACCTCAGTGTTTGCTGGTGGTGGTGATGGCCACTTAATAGTCGCTTCATAAACAATCCTATTTCACTAAAGAGCATTTCCCTGGGAAAACCCAGACAGCTTACAAAATATTGTTAAATACTCAAAACAGAACCTGTGAAGTATTTGTTTATTTAAGAAAAACAGGGAATGTAGTGTTAAACTTATGACATGGGGGGTGGGGGGAAATATGCAAAACAGTCACACAGAAGGAAAGTTTTAATTTTTAAGTACCTCCAAGTCCGCTTAATTTTTTGTGAGCTGTTTAACACTTTTAAATATCCTAAATTAAAACTATATCAACAAAATTTATCCCCAGTGTTTCCATAGGAGACATTAAAATAAGACCAAATTATACGATTTTTTTTCTTTAACCAAAGTAGTATTTTTTTTTCATAGTAGCATTTTTCTCAGTCCTTTTTGTGCAAAAATATTTTAAGAGCAATTCAAATGGAAAGGCTGAAATGACATGCCAACATTTCAGGGCACATTTAAAATACTCAGAATAATTCTCAAAATTATCATATTCTAGAATACTACTACCAATCACTTTTAGGTTAGTTTTGTACATCCACTCACACTGATGCAATTTTCCTAGACCTCTGAAAATAAACAGGCTCATTGGTCTCTTTTGGTGTCCACACAATAGGCAAGATAAGTTTACAATAGTGTCTAAATGGAACGAGGCATCTACAATCTCTTGACTCCACCACATTCAAAATAAAAGTCAGTTCATTTGGCTACCCTGAAATCACTCCCATAAACCTACTATGGTTCACTGGATCTAAACATTTCTCAGAAATGTGTCATTTTATAAATTCACCTAAGTGATGATTTGGGGATCCTTTAGAAATAGTTAATGCCTAAGATAATAAACTTTATCAAAATGAATAATTGTAATAAAGTGCTTTTTACATTTCAAAATGATGCTTTTAGACTGTGGCATGTTGTTTTAACAGTGTGTGCTATTCCTCATATGAAGGATCCCCAGGCATGAGAGTTGCAACTTCTCACCTGTCTCATAAAGCAGCAGCACTATCTTTTGGTAGGCTGACAAGAGGCACATTACCCATGCGGATGAAGCTATAGTAGCGCTATGGCAAAAAAAGGGAGTAAATTAGAAAAGTAGGGGGCATGTGGAGGGTTCCTAGAATACTTATAGTAATTATATACAAATATATTAAATATACTATAAAAATAGTAGACTCTTTTCCTTTGCAATTACTTCAGAAGCTCCTTTTAGAAGAATGCTCACCCAAACCAAACTTAAAAGGTTCTCTTTCTCCATTCACTATTAAAATGGCAAGTGCCCTTCTTCTTCCATCATTTAAAAATTCCAATCCACCTACTCCTGGCTAGACTCACTCAACAATATTAATATCCAGTGTTTATACCTTCCAACACTGACTCCCGTGGGACTAAGAACAGGGTTGCAGATATTGGAAAGGTTATAGACTTGAACGAGTTTTACGTAAATGTTTATCAACAAATTTTTAATCGCCAAAGAAATGCAAAGAAAGGAAAAAGCAGAAACAAGCAATACTAGAGTAAAATGCTGTTTGCGTTCCACTTAGAAAAAGTCTGCCTCAGTATAGCAGAAACATTGTAAAACACGTTGAATAATAATCCAGTCTAAAAGAATCTTCACCTGTCTGTATAGAGGAGGAGAAACAGAGTTCTAGTTTAAGTGCCCTTTTCTAACTAAGGCTTCTTGAACAAGGTTCATCTCCAACACAATGCCCGTTACAGAGCTGGACTGCTTCAGTGCTTATGATTAACTTCAAGCAGACGGCTTTAAGGCAATGACCAAAAACTACAGCACTTCTGCAGAATCCAAATAACATTTTCACTATTCTGCACTGAGTATAACAAACCACTCAAAATCACTGGCATCTTTTTATCTCTAGTTCATTCCTAAACCAGATTTAAGTGACAAAGCAAAGCACAGGACTCTAAAATTACTCCATCAACTTAGGATGGAGTTCAGAGATTGAACTGTAGTATTTATTTACACACACACAACCCCCCCCCCCCACCACATTCACTTTTCCTCCAATATTTTCCACTCTAAAACTGGAGTACTTTTAACTGTCTAGGTTCTGGTTTGATGCCACCCGCAGCAGCAGTTTTCATTACTAACCCTTGCAGGTAGGTCTCTCTTCTAGTTGAACAATTCTGAGTCACCCAGTGCCACAACAGCCCAAAGTAAGATAACTGCAGAGCACCTAGCATTTTTCCTTATCTTCAACATTTTCTTCCATACCTAAAAAAGTGCCACTCAGAATAGAATGTTTTTAAGAAAAACTGAATACTTGTGAGAATAAAGCAGAGGGACAAATATGATTTTTAAGTAGTTGAAAGGTGTTTTCATTTGGTATCTTCATGGTTTAGATTTGAGATTTTAAACAACTTTGGCTACAGAAATAAATGAAGAACAGACAACTGCTGCATCTTCATCTGAATGCTCAAGTCTTGATTCGGGGAGAGGACAGGGACAGCCTGTCAAGTTTAAGAGGGAAAGAATGAGCTAAGAGGCACCTAGTGCTTACTTGCTCTTCTAACACTTGATTCTGACAGCAAAAGAAAAGCAGCTAGCTGCTCCTTTAAATTCAGCTGCTGTTAATTCCAAGCAGGAAAAAATGAGCTGTGAGGAAAAGAAAGGAATTATAAAGGAAAATTTTGTCTAATTTTCTTTCCAAAATATTTTTGGGAATAGAAAATACTTGAAGGGACTAGGGGAGGAGAAGGTAAATAAATAAACATAGTCTACAGATTTACCTTGTGGCTTGTCTTATGCTATGCTTCTGTTAACCTAAGTACATAGTACTCACAGTTCACCATCTTTTTAAAAAATACAAGCCTTAATATAATAGTTCTTCAGATCTTTCGTTAGCTAGATCCGTATCGCTAAATCTCACCAATAAATAAATGAGGCACAACTCAGATATAAATGGAATGGCATGATAAGGTCAAAAAAGGCAATTTGAAGAGGGGAGAAAATATGTTACTGTATTCTATAACATGAATTTTGTCTGCATATATGTATGCTCAAATACAAACATTCTGACAACTATTCTTGACATTCATGGGAATGTCAAATTTCTTCTAGATGACCATGTACCTAGAAGAATTCCTTGATATTTAATTATTGATTGGTATCATGCTTCTTTTATAGAAGGATAGGTACCAGCTTTCTTTGGTTGTTTTATTTTCTTTTTCAACATTAACGTTCTAATTTAAGTATGTGGCCAGGTATAGTTTTCTACAGAAAGACAAAGTATACACCTAAAGGATGACAGTAAGCGGAGGGCAGGAAAGGCTTAATAACTGATTTAGAATTTCTCTGACCCCTTTATCTAGCAATTCTGCATTAGGTTATTTTCATTACTCAAAACGTTTGTTTTTAACAACCTCAGCTCTGTTATAGTTTAAAACATTTTCCTTTAAGGTCAGTTTTGATTTACTATAGGTTGTTCTTCTCCCTTTCCTCAGTAATAATTTTTTATATTCTAATAAGATATTTCCCTTTGTTCTGTAGATGTGGATTTTATTATCAGTACCATAAAATCTATAAAATGCTTTTTAAAAAGTATGTGTAACTTCTGTTGGAATTTATTACCTTTACAATATTGCCGTATGAAATCTTAGTTCATGTTCAGAAAGCATGTGAGTTACAACATTCTAGTGTTATAGTGAAGGCAAAGCCAATTCCTACCCCTTCTTTTTTCTTTGTAGGAAAAACAAGTTCATCTTGTGCAAATACTTACTGGCAATTCTTAAATGACTATTTAGCTTTAAAGGAAGTTAACATGCTAATTTAGGGAAACACTTTTGGGATCACATTAATGATTTTGATAGTAGGATGTCATCTTTTATTTCTAAATTATTCATCCCTCCTGTCCAAGAGACTCAGAGCAGTCTTCATAGAACTCAGGAGAATAATAACACTGACACCCACATGCTGTTAAAAATGCACTAAGGTTTCAAAATTGCTACTGAAACCAGACAATGAGTTCAAGATGGTGAATTATCACCTGAATTAAAATCAAGGCACTATGGGCTTTTTTTTTCCCTCAAATAACCCTGAATCATTTCTGACTAAAAGAAGCATTGAAATTGTGAAGGATAATAAAAAGATTCCAACATATCCTAAGAGTTAAAATTCCCACCACTGAGAATGTTAAAAAGTGCCTAAAATGTGTTTTCTGTGCAAATTTTACTCCTATAACTGAGACATTCTTGAAATTACTTTCAGGCTTGTTGAAAACCATTTACACAAATATTTCCAACTGAACTATATTAAAATATGTGATCAAAAATTCTCAACCATCTAAAATAAAGCAGTGCAAATCCTATTTTCAAACATACATAATTGAAAAATAATGAAATGAGGGTATTTCTGAATAACTTGAAAATCTCGTTACATCAATAATTTAACCTGAAAAAAATCCATTCCCAGCAGCACATCATACCGCACTGAACAAACTGTGACATCACAGCTACAAGTATGAGCAAAAGACTTGTGCCCAGCGGACGGATTTACCAGTAAGCGCCGTACAAACCAGCTTACGATAAGCAAGGTGCACACGGGCTTAAATGTGTTTACTTACTAATCTGTAGTGTACAGTTTCACAGGGGTTTTACCACATCTCTGATGTGGTGAAAAACAGGTGAAATTGTACAAGTAAGCCCATGTGTACCTTACTTATTGGGCAATCCGTCCCTGCTTGTGCCCCAGAAAACTGAATAGAACGTTATCGTGCTGTAAACAAAAGGGAAAACAGAGGATGTATTAGTTTGCACATGGTGGCAGAATCTAACGAATGTATTCATACCTATAAGACATAATGCTTTCATGCAGCATACAAAATGTTTTGCTTTCTCTCCTTTTATCCACACATATACATAATATTTTTACAGCATCTGTACAATAGAGAATTTGAACCCACACAACATTCTGAAAGTAACTACTGTTCCATCATTATCTGAAAAGGGAGAGGGGCTGGGGAGGGGTATCTACTGAGTCTACTGGACTGTCTTCATGGCATCATTGTAAGCAAACCCCTGACATGGCAGTGGTGTGTCCTCTGTAACACTCAATAACAGGCACAGAACCACAAAAAGTTACTAACATTGTTAGTGCCTTTCTGATTCACTGGAGGTCATGTTTCATAGCTGAGCTTCTTAACATTTGGCAATATACTCTTTTCCACTGAAAAATATCTGGGCAACTAAAACACTGTCAGAATTGGTGACATCCCTATGATCATCTCCTGCTGGCTGGTATTTAATGTACATCTGTAGCGCTAGGCAGCATTTTCCCCAACAACTAATTCCAGGAACTAGAACACTTAATACTGCGTCTCATGAAGCTGCTGGAACTTTCCTCCTATCCTCAGATCATCTGAGCAACTCCTTCTGGGCCAACCCCTTCCTCCCCTGATGTCAGAGAGGAGGCCTGTGTGTTACTGTGGTTGAACCTTGGAAGGATCAGTCAAACTGTCAGTCCTGTGCCGACTGAGCTGCTGCTGTTGCTGAGCCTGGTGCTGCTGGTGACGTGACTGAGGGAAAGTGCTCTGTTGCAGTGGAAATGCAGCAGAGAGGATGAACTGAGCTGAAGGATTCCCATGGAGCAACCTAGAAGTCTAAAAAACAAATAGATTACGCAACATTGCTTACCCTCACTATATTGTCCACATAAGATTTACTCAAGTTTTCCACTGTACATAGGGATGAGATCCTGAAGTTCTACATCATCAACATAATTCTTACTTCCTCATATAAGAATCATACTTTGGAAAATTCTTATGAGGCTATCCCTCTTTCTGAAAGTATACATGACAAAATTTCATATTTTAAGAGTCTGAGTTGGAGATTTTATGGTATAGAAAGCAATCTATGTCTGGCAACAAACCACACATTCTTCCGATTTATATGTCTTAAAGACCTAAATTTTACAGTAAGATTTAAGCATAGCTATGAAATATGAAAACACGAGGGCAAATGGACAATGCCTTATGCACACAGGCTCATTCAGTTGGTGGAGCGGCAGTGTACGCGGTCGACAGCATGAGTCCTGACTGCTGGGTTCCAACTCTGGCTTCCCTATCTGCTAGATGTGTGACTTGGGCAAGGTATTTACTTCTCTGGGCCTTAGTTTATAGAAATAATAATAGTGCCTGCCGTACTGGTTTTTTATGAAGATTAAATGAGTTTAACCATATAAAGTTCCAAGAACAGTGCCTAGCAAGTAATAGGAGTCTAATATTAGTTGTTAATATAACTGCGTAAAAGCACCATAGAAATGAGGGCAGAGTTAGTCTTAAGTCTTATATGTAGCAGTGTGGTATAACACAAGCAAAATAAAACAAAGAACAAAGGCACAGTAAGATAGTAAGAGGCTCGGTGTTTGAGTTTTACCCTGCCATTTATTAGCTGTGTGACCTTGGGTAAGTCTCAGCTTCTATGAGCCTAAGGTTCTTTTACCCAATTTCTACTGTGGCATGCTGTTTATAAATCTATATCCCTAGGACACAAAGGAAACCAGCTGAAAGAAAGTGAATTTTTAAGTGAAAGCCCTTTCCCACTACTGCAAATACAACTTGATACAGGGTTCCTAATTTTAAAACGGAACTGTGGTGGGTGGTTTTTTCAAATGTATATGATGGACACATGTACTAACACACACACACAAAGGACAGAGCCTTAAACTGTAGTGACCATTAAGCTTTGCCAAGGATCTCTTGAGAGTCTGCTGTTATCAGAAAAAGTTACTGTGGAGCTAAAGAATTCAGGATATTTATGGTTGGATCTCCACGAGCCTTACAGGATTACAACAGAGGTACATTTTGGACATATATAATTAACAAAGCTAAATTTTATATTTGCTATCTACATATTAATGTGTTTGTGAAGGTGCTTACTGCCTATCTTGTTTATGGATCCCCTGTCTTTGGAAGGCTTCTGTGGGAAAATTGGTGGAGGAGAGAATGTTCATTCTTATAAGGGCCTTTGTTCTCTGATAGACTTAGTAGAGGTCTTAAGGCATGTCTTCTTTTTTTTAAGCTTTTGGTTAATTCTCATGGTATATATTTTCCCCAGATAATAGCTTATAGCTTACTATAAATTACTATTCTTTACTTCTAACAATAGCTAACTCAGTTACTAATGACTTCAGTGTAGGCCTAAGGTCTAAGGAAGTGTATGACTTCTAGAGCTATTTAAGCAACTAAACCGTTTTAGTTTCCCATATTACCAAGTTAAGGATTATATTTGAACCAGGGAACTGAGGACGATATACTAAGACTATATTTATGCCTGCGTATACAGTATAATACTGAATCTCCTAATCATACTGTATGTTGTGTAATTCTGGCCTAGATGAGGTAGTCTCCAGCACAAATCCAGGCTGCCCTACATGCAGAATTGTTCCAGCTAGGCCAGAAGAAAGAAGGTGGATTTCCTGATGTCACAATCTGATACTGTGCAACCCCCAGCAAGGATACTGAGATCTAGACATTTGTTCTGTAGCTCTGTTTGCTGTGTACCAACTTTCTCCTGTATTCTCTAGATAAGTACAGCCTGTCTGATTCACTCACGTGGTATCTGTCTGTATTCTGGTTAATCTGAGCCTCCATGACATCTGTCAATAGTGGTCATAAATGACGGCTAGCTATATGCTTTGTACTGTTTGATGATTTAATACTTTTTAACTCATGAGGTATAAACCACTATCAAATACACATATCATATATATATTCTGTATATATTCTATACATATGTGTTCCTCCATTTTATAGAAAAGGAAACTGAAGTTTAGCAAGTAACTTGTCAAAGGTCACACAATATGTGGTGCAGCAGTGACTCAATCTCAGAGCAGTCTGATGTTAGAGCCCAAGTTCTTAACGATGACATGTACTGCATGCTGCCTCCAGAGTATTTCTCCTCTGATGTTAATTTATAATTGAAAAATTACAATAAAATATAATCCAACAGAATAATTTAAGATAATGCATATACTCCTAAAAAAAACTGTTGTGAGACCCCTGCCCCGTAAAGAGTAGAGTTTGATGGGCTGCTAGAAAGGAATAGGAAAAAGAAAGGTGCCTTTACTTGAATCCTAGAAACTCTAGCCTAGGCTAAAGTGCCTTGATGTAGGCAGGAAGTGGGCCACTTACTCTACTAAGCAGTTCAGATACTTGGGTATGTCCATGGAAGGGCTAAAAGTCTTCCAAAGACTGAATGAGGGAAGAAAAAATAGCTGGGGCAAGTTTTCTATCTTTGTAGAGATTCAAATTATACAATAACCTTTTATGGATTTTTCAGATCAGTTATACAACTATTCATTTAAATGTCTGATTTCATTGTATAAAAGTAAATGGAGTTGGAACAGGTTCCCCCGGGGAGAATTACCTGTAAAAACTGCTGTGGTGGTTGGGTCAGCTGAGCCTGAGATGGTTGCTGAACTGAAGTAAGCTGCTGCTCCTGGGAACTCTGCTGTTGTTGCTGCTGCTGTGTTACTGACAATGTCTGTGACTGTTGCTGCTGTGTGGCAAAAGTAGGATAGGCAGTCACCACCTGACCCATAAGCATAGTACTGGGTACCATGACTGCCCCACAAGCTACAGGAGCAGTCACTAATTTGGTCACAAGTTGCTGACCTTGAGAAAATCTGTTGGAGAAGAAAGAAGAAAGTAGAGTCAGAAACACAAGATATGTATTATAAAAGGGAGTGGGCTGAATACTTGCCTAAGATAATTCCCATGATACTGCCAGTTTTTTTAGAAAGCTATTATGTTCCTGTTTTGTTTCATGTTATTAAAAATTCATTTTGAGATACCACTTAAAAAAGTTTATACAGCAAAATTAACATATGATAACATGTCAAAAATACTAATGTTTTTCCTTTTATAAAATCACTAAGTATTTGGGAGTCAGATACTTGTGGCACATGGTTCACTTGCTAATCACGAGTAAACTTAAAGTCATCTTAAGGGAATTTAAAACACTCTACAGAAGAAATTTACACTAAAAATTGTATTTTATAAACATAACTCAAAACCAAATGTCATTCTAACAGGGAATAAAAGTACGCTCAATTTATAAATTTATCAATGCAGCATAGTAACCGCCATGTTAGAATTAATTCATTTACCTTTGCCTCCCCACTCCCTCCATCTTTCCTTCCTTCGTTCCTTCTTTTTTAATAAAAGAGCAATCAAAACACGATGCCTCTTTGGGGAACAAGATTATTTCTATTTGCTTTTTCTTTGAAATGAAGTTAGTTTCTAACACTGGCCAGACAGTGACGAAACTGGTAAGACCCTCCTGTATATGCAGCCTGACGTAACTGCAATTACAAACTATTTAAAGTACTTAGCAGTGTTAAACTTAGTACAGAGGCATACTTTATTATATATATGTTCTCCAAGACAAATCTATTTTCAATCCACGCTAAATCTTGAAAATACTATATTTTATACACTTCAGAACCAAGTACTTTATAATGGGGAAAAAATAAAATTGGAACAAGTGTTGTTGTTGTTGTGAGCTGCTGTGGAGTTGCCCCCAACTCATGGTGACCGCATGCACAACAGACCTAAATGCTGCCCAGTCCTGCTCCATCCCCACAATTGGTTGTGGATCAACAGTTCTGATCCACTGGGTTTTCTTTGGCTTATTTTCGGAATTAGATCGCCAGACGTTTCTTCCTAGTCTGTCTTAGTCTGGAAGCTCTGCTGAAACCTGTTCAGCAACACACAAGCCTCTATCAACAGATGGATGGTGGCTGTGCATGAGGTGCATTGGCCAGGCCTCCTGCATGGAAGGCAGAATTCTACCACTGAACCACCACTGCCCCCAAGGAAACACATGACATTTACAAAATGGCTTAGTCACAGAAATGCTAATTTCTCTGTAAATCTAAAAGAAATTAGTATCTGAACTGCCCAACTGCTCACTGGCAAATGTGGTAAGAATACTGCATCCATCTCAGGCACCAAAAGACATGCTTCAGTCTAGTTTTGCTTACTCACGCTTCTGTGGCTTTGTATGTACTGCTCTGGCCTGAACACCCTCCCCTGACTCCCTGCCACACCCAAAGGCAAGCTCTCCAAGACTCAGGCCAAGTATGTATCTCCTCTGTGACACCTTCCTTGACCACATTCTCTCTTAACCTGCTTGCCTCCACGCATAAAACTGCTCACTTCCTCCTTTCTAAACACCTATTAAGTATTTATCACATCAAATAGTATTTATTTGTTTACCTTTATATTGTTTTTACTAGTGTAGTCTTTCTCTTGGGGCAAGAACTATGCCATCGTCATCTAAGTAGGCCCTCAAATGTTTGCTGAAATATGTATTCTTCCCTCAAAAAACAGACAGGTTTACAAATAGTTGCAAAACCACACCCTCTAAAACACACATCAATATTCTGGAGTGATGCATTTTTCCTCAGGTGTTACAACTAGCCTGCATTTCTATGGAGCACATAGTGCTTCCTTTCAGAATGTTAGAAAACTTCAGAACGTTAGAGGCGGAAGGTGGACTTTTCTAGTTCTCCCTGCTCTCACTGTCTCTGTGATCCTCCAGCTTCTTTACTCTCTGGAAATTATTAATAGGATTTTAATTTAAAATATTACATGTTCTAACACAACAGCAAAATTGTACACCCTACTTACAGTAAAATAAGTAAAAAATAAAAATGTACTCAAAATGGGATACTTAAGACTACAGACATTCTACAGATGTTAAAAGACAGCTTTACAATGTGTGAATGGCATTTTTTCATAAAGTTTGTTTCTAAGTCAGCTATCTGGGCTTCCCACTAAAATAAGCCATAGAAGGCTGCATTTTGAGAATGACTCACAAAAGCTTAACGTAGTCTATGTTTAAGCACTTGAGCTTTGAAATCAGAGACCAGGCTTGAGCTCAAGGATCCTCCACTACTCCCTTAACTAGCTATATGCCCTTGACCAAATTACTAAAAACCCACTACGTCTCAGTTTTCTTACATCTGGAAGATAAAAGAAGATCCTAACACACCTTTTTTGGGGGGCGGGGAGGGAGGGCATACAAGAATTAAATGAGATAATACATTTTGAGCACTTAGTATAGAACTTAACTGAATAAAAGATAAGCTACTTTTATTCTGTAACATATATATAAACTATGGTAGTACAGACCCTAATCATTGTTTCTACATGAAAACTCTCCAGCATCTGTGTTGAACAGATCTAAGTTTCACAACGAGACAGCTATCACAAACTCTTGTAACAGTGTACTGAAGAATTTGGATTCTACAATATTTGGCAGCACATTTCTGTACAGGAAACAAAATTTGTTGTTACTCTTTTATTATAAAACCTTTAAACAATGGATACACTCTGGGTTTTTATTTCAAATTTAAGAACACTGGTTGGAGTGAGCAACAAACTAAACCATTTTTTAATCAATCAGATTATGACTCTGAAAATGACAAATGACAACTACCTTATCTGTCTGTCCTGAGTGAAAGTAGTTACCGCAGCACTCTGAGTACTGTTCTGTGGCATACTAGATGGGATCTGGACCATGCTTCCTGCTGCTGGCTGAGAAATCACCATAGTGTTATACAGTGGGGCTGTAAGAGTGCTCTGTGTCTGACTGGGGACAGATGTTTGTTGATTATGCCCACTCAGTACATTTTGTTGACTTTGCTAGAAAAGAAAAAGATTTTACAGATAGATTAACTGACAAAAATGTAACCAGAAAACATAACTTCTACTATTCACTGCTCGAATAATAGCTGACATGACAGAGAAAGAAGTGGCAGGATATATTACTCTGAGAGAAATCTACCCACAAAGGAACGACTTGTAGTTACTAAGAATGAAATAGACTTGAATACCCTGCTGGAAGGTTATCTATGACTTTAGAAAAAGAGTGTAACTATAACAGGGAAGATATAAAATATACATGAAAAAATTTCTGTTAAATGCTTGAAGTGAGTAATGGATTATTAGACACTGTTTATGTATTTCATGTAAAGCCTTGGGATTTAAAGTCACAGTTGTACACCAATTACTAAAATACTCGGGAATACTGGTTAAACCATCACTGCCCCAACAGTCTATCCTGCACATATGTTTCCTGGTCAGCCTCTTTACCAGCCAAACCTTCTTAACATATAGAAGTAGTCTGTAAGTTATAAGAACCTGGTATGATTTAGACTAGACCTGTTAAACAAGTCACAACATTTTCTAAATGTCAATATGTTGAAAACATTTGCCATTCAACACTAACATAATTTTTCAAAAAATATTTTAATGATCATTTTTCAATACTGTACTTTCCAATTGCTATTAAAATTTAAAAGATGCTATTTTGCAAGGTAGAGCTTTATTTTTGTTTTAGCAATGGTTCACGTTTCAGTCACTAAATTCTTCATAGCCCATTATACTTGATAACATTACCTGAGTCGATGTATTTTGTAAAGTCTGCTGTTGTATCATGTGCTGAGTTGTACCAATACGTCCAGTATTCATTCCACTTTGAATCTGGTTAGTAGGAACAACCTGACCTTGCATATTTATAGGTGCGAGTTGCTGGATGTTAGATGAATTCCCAGAAGAAAGTTGAACAGAACCAAAATTCAATCCAGGGGTGGACTGTTGTAAAAACATCTTTTAAAATAAAGACTACATTAAAATGAGTTTTGTAGATTAATCATTGAATAAAGCGTGAAACTTCATTCTTCTAGTGATTCCTAACCCTATCCTGTTTCACATTATTAGAAAACGTGCTACAAATTTCAAAATCTCTATTTGTTCGAGCATTTTACATTTTGCGGATTGTTTGTTATATCAGCTAGCATTACCCTAACTCAGTGCTACTCAAAGGTCTGTGGACTAGCAGCATCTGTAATACCTATCATTTATAATTTATGGTATTAGGTAGAAGCAGTTTTTATTTACCAAAGTCCTAGTTTCAATATGTAACTGTAGACTGGTCCTGTTAGTTGACCAAATAATATTAATATCACTCAAACCTACTAGTCCTGGTATTTTAGTAAAACTACTGCTAATGACTGATTTATAAAATTCTGTGGTTAAAAGCTCAGCTGCTAACCAAAAGGTTAGCAGTCTGAATCCACCAGCCTCTCCTTGGAAACCCTATGGGACAGTTCTACTCTGTCCTTATAGGGTTGCTATGAGTTGGTATCAACTTGATGGCAACAGATATCTAAATGTACCTAGAAGTGCATATAAAATACAATTTTTATATTTTGAATTTAAACTTACTAAAAACTGAACTCCTAAAAGATGATTCCATTAGGCTGGAGAAACAAGGACGTTGATGGAAATACCCTTATGAGTAATTATCTTTAAAGACTGTAAATGAAACCATACTGAATAATCAATGAATATTTATTGAACTGTCAAATAAGTCAATTTTCCTAAGACACCAAAATATGGATGCAAGATTGTAACTCTGTAGTATTCAAATAAAAGAATAACTTACCTGCAGCCCTTGACCATGAACCATCTGAAGTTGTTCTTGAATTTTTCTTAGTTCTTCTTGTTGTCGATGAATATTTGCCTCTATCATCCGTGTTCGTTGCTCCAATTGGTCTTTCAGATGCTGCATGGCTCCTAATTGAGCTGAAAACTGAAACTGAAGTACCATGCGTGGACAGAGGAAAGCATATTTTAGAAGTTCTCATAATTGTACAATGTGGAAAGTAAGCAGTATATCATGAGTTAAGAATGTTATGCCAGTTATCAATTATCAATGTATTGCCTCTCAGCAGGATTCTCAAATCCAGGCATCTCTGCTCTGCTTTTGTGATACTGGAGATGGACCCTGTAAATATTTCTCCTTGCTAACAGGCACAAATTTAATCATATCAGTAGAGGGTACATGAGAGATACTGCAAGAGGAAGGGGCTCTGCAAGAGGAAGGGGCTTTCCTCCCTGGTTCTGGGGCTTTTCTTTCTTGCTCTTATGGCACGGCTGCCAGCAGGCAGTTTCCCAGCAAGTCTCATCAGCACCCCTGAAGGTGGCTTTCCAGCAAGTCTCACTGGCATCCTAGTGGGCAGCTTCCCAGTCCCGCTGCACTCCAGTGGGTGGCTTCATAGCATGTTTTGCCAGCACTCCAGCAGGTGGTTTCCTGCTCTGCAGCCCTTGCCTGTGGTACCTCAGTGAACTTCTGTCATCGGGGGTGGGGAGGTTTTGGAGGTAGGAGAATTTTCCAAGATTGTTCCTTCCTCAGATACTCTCTTTCTGCCTTATAGTTAGTGGCTGCTCTCTACAACTCCTGTTCCTATATTCTTTAGAGTTCTCTTTATTCCTCTTAGTAGTTAATCCCTATTACCAGTTCACTCACTGGAACAAGTCACTTAACTTCTCTCAGTCTCAGTTTATCTGTAAAATGGGGATAATGAAAGCACCAACTTTATGGGGTTTCTGTAGGTATTAAATGAGTTAATGTTTTAGGCGGTACCATTTCAAATTGCTGATAACTGACATTTTCCACCTAAGTTAACAGCAGTTTCATATGGTTCAGGTGAATATACAAAACCCCTAGTACAACACCTGGCACATAAGAGCTCAAAAGAAGTTTGACATTATTCTCATTATTATCATTTATTAAAAATGCAGTGAAAACTATACCTTGTCATATAAAGCATACAAAATCTATCTTAATTAGCTGCTCTTTTACTCATTATCCTCTATTTTATGTGGAAGCAATGGGTCACAGGTGGTGGATATGGAGGAATTAAAAAAACAGCTTCCCCAGTGGCTTCACTTCTACACTTTAACAAATGAAGAAGTAGCCAGCACCTAGAGTTCGTCATATCAAATTCTAACATCCCTAGAATGTCCTCTATGTGCACATAAGAAGTACCCAAAGTGAAAAAAAGAGATAACCAACTATAATATTTTCAACTAAAACTGTTCTCAGACAAGTACAGAACAAAGACTTTTAAGGACTATGCAATTATGAATGAACAAAAACATAAAAGTTATTCTACTTCCAGTGTTTATAATCATTATTTATTTTTCTATGTTTTATCTGAGTCATAAGCAGCCCCTATTTTCTACTGCTTGTAATTTAGCTACAGTTGATGATTTACATCTTCAGTCTATACAGGCTCATTTAATATATTTCCATAAATATTTGGCCATAAGTACACAAGCTATTGTGTAAGGGCAGAAAGAGTTTCACTTTAGTGGAAATCTGTCTCAATCTTAACATAAGTCTCCTACAATGAGTTGCATTTAAAAGTGACAAATGCCTCCCAAAAACTTTTTTTCCTCTGTCTTCAGACGTTTGTATTGAGGACACTGAATACTACTTTTCAAGGCATACAACTCTGGCTTCTGAAGTTAACAATAATTATACTATACCCTATATTAGACTACACCACAAGTTTAAGAAAAGATTACATATTTAGTACCTCAATTCCCTCATGTCTTTATTTGTATTAGTAAAAATGTTATATTTGTTATATGAATTTATTTTAACTAAAGTTAATTGTACCTTTGGATAAAAAGTATATTGTCACAATTTATAAAGGGTATAAAGGATTTCTATTAAGTACAAGCAAGAAAATAGAAACCAATACAGAAGCAGGATAACAGGAAATAAAACCATAGAACTAAGAAGCAAAGCAGTTGGCTTTATCACTGAATAAGATGAGAGATTTCATTACTAACATTTTTGACACAGTGGATAGTATTTATTTCCTTTAAAATGAAATATGAAAATATTTCTTTAAAATGTTAAGAAATGCATATTCAGTATTCTGAGATTAATGAACTAATGATATTGAAAGTATGTCTAAATATTTACATAAAAATTCTGTTAACACTTCAGAATAAATAGGATTTGAGCACTCAATACTCATAAAAACTGTTGTAACTAAATATAACATTTAATAAAACAGTGCTATTATAAAGATCTTATATAAGAGTATGTTGCTAGAGCTCAAGATTAGGAAGTTGAGGTAATCTATAACATCAATATGTCTGTACAAGTGTCATATAACATTTTAATTATATATGTATATATTAAACAATACCTATAAATAATATTATTTTAAAAAAAGATACTGTTTTTACCTATTGTTAACTATCATTACCTAAAATCAAGCTACTGCTAAATCAAGGTGTATTTAATGCCAAACAAAGCAATCAGAAAACTTTATATCATCCTTACTACTACTCAGCGGTATTTTTAATGTGTTTCAGGCATTAAATCAGTTCAGTTAATAAATTACAAATTGGAGAACTATGTTCAAAAGTAACTTAGTGTCACTTTTGTAATACCTCTCCTTTGTCTTATATTTAGGCCTCCTTCAGGACTTAGGCCAGGCAAGAGTTCTTCTGGAAAGTCTTCCTTTGTTTCCTTAGGCTGTACTAAGGTTCCATCTCATATATTCATGTATCAGCCTGTATACCTCCTAGTACGCACCATAAAGAAGTCACCTAGGTGCCCTCCATGTGTAATAAAGTCTTTTAGTATTGATATTACATCTTACTCATCTTTGTATTGTCAACACCTGTAATATCTGACACATACAAGGAACTCAATAAATGTCCTGTATATGAACAAATGAATGAATGTATGAATAAAGTTACTCAATTCTTCCAATATCCATAAGAAGAACAAAATGAACAGCTACATTTCAACCTCAATATCTTTAGATCTATAGCATTTCTCAATGGGGAGTGTTGTGGTATATCAAGCAGGACAATTCTTTGTTGTACAAGACAGTCCTGCATATTCAAGGACATTTACCACCCTGGTGGAAACCCTGGTGGCATAGTGGTTAAGAGCTACGGCTGCTAACCAAAAGGTCGGCAGTTCAAATCCACCAGGGACTCCTTGGAAACCCTGTGGGGCAGTTCTACTCTGTCCTGTAGGGTCACTATGAGTCGGAATCAACTTGATGGCAGTGGGTTTGGTTTTTGGGTTAGCCCCTGCCAGTGGTACCCTACAATCATTATGACAATCAAGAATGTCCCCAGATATTCTAAATGCCCCCAGTTGAGATTTACCACTTCTAAAACTACATTTTAAAGAAATCTATATTATCTTAAAAGCAATTTATCATTTTACAATACTCAATTCAAACAAACAATCAAAAAATACCTGGGACATGCCTTGTGGAATTGGTAAATTTGCAGCTTGAGACATCACGGGCTGTGTTAATGACTGACCAACAGACTGGGAATTCATGGACTAGAAACAAAACAAATAACACTGGAATGATGATCATTCTCATACGTGAGCACTTTCACCAGAAATATCAACATGATACTTTTATGACTGAACTTTCAATTTGCCTCATACTTTCATTAGGTAAGCGTAGGTATGTCTCCCCCTCTATACTGGAAAGGCCTGTTCCTGACTTATATTTTTATCTTCCAAGGCACCTACCACAGTACCTTACATGGGGTCCTCAATAAAAGTTGGCTGAACTTAACTGAAGGTGACTGGCATTTGAATTTAGATATAAAATGCTTCTACATTACCAGCTTTTTACATTTTACCTGAAAAATAGCTAAAAACAGCTAAAAGGACTGATATCTACGACAACTATTTCACAAAAAAAGAGAGATCTTGAGTAAATATTATATATCAACAACCATTTTGATCTTTATAGAAAAGGATAATGAATAAATGGAATTCTGTAGATTTAGATGATTTTTTTTCCCGCTACTAGTAAATCTTTATTCAGAAGAACGTTAACTAAAGAGCTCACCTGACTACTAAATGATGACCTCCTTTGTGCCATCTTTTCATGAGCTGGTAAGTGCTGTCTGGGAGGAGTGCTCGTATCTGTTTGGATCTTTGTTGGTGTTGCTGAGGTCAACAAGAACAGAACAGCATAAGGTGCTTTAGAAAATACAGTTTCGAAAAATTAATTTCAAAATGCATTTCAGTGAATAAAAATGGTTATTTTTCTAAACCATTCAATAAAAGTGAAGTCTACTATAATGAGATGATTCATTTTAATTTATTTATACATATTATTGTGGTGAAAATATACACAACATTCTCCATTTCAACAATTTCTACATTTAAAATTTAGTGCCTTTGATTACATTCTTCATCTCCTGTCTTTTATAAGGACAAAGAAAATATTTGAAACAGGAAAACTTTAAAAATGATTGCTAATTTAATGACAATTATGAAAGTTTTCATAAAGACAAAACACTAAAAAGCTTTCAAAAAAGCAAACTGGTTTAAAAGAACACTCACGGGCTTTAGCAGTAAAGAAGAAAGAAATAGTTTGATTTTCTTGCGGGATGAGTAAAAATAAATTACCAAGACCAACACTGTTGTTACTGTTGTGTGCTGTCTAGTTGATTCTGATTCACAGCAACCCTATATGACAGAGCAGAACTGCCCTATAAGATTTCCTAGGCTGTGATCTTTACGGGAGATAATCACTGGGTCTTTTCTCCTGTGGAGTTGCTGATGGGTTCGAACCACTGACCTTTTGGTTAGAGGCACTTAACCACTGCACCACCAGGGCTCTTTCAAAATCACCCTTAATAGGCTGGCACTGGTAGGATTTGAACCTATGCTCCCAAAGAGACTGGAGACTTAATCCAGTGCCTGGGACTGCTTGGCCATGCTACCAGCATCACTACCTACATATTTTATAGGGCACTTGATAAAGTTAATTCTTTGCTAGATGTTAGCACTGTGCCTCCTACTTACTTGAAAGGTTAATATATTTAAAAAATGCAGAACATTTATAATTTTAAAGAAGCACTTGATGAAAAAAGCTGATACCAGTTAACACAAATAATTTAGAAGCACGTTCTTTAATGGAAGTCTGCTTTCAAGTGAGGGTACTCACAAGAAGGGTCAGAGACTGCTGTGTGAGACGATTTTCTTGAACTCCTGGAGGAAGCAGAAGGGGTTGGACTGTGATCAAACCTTTCCAATGCTTCCTTGAGACTGACTGTGTTTATACGATTATCAGACCCAGAATCTTGGCTCTAAGAAGACAGAGTAAGATAAATGTTTTCTTGTGGGTCAGTTCAGAGATTCCAAATTAGCAATACTGCTTGTTTAAAATAAATAAATAAATAAAAGTTTTTACCCATAACAAGGCAAAGGTACCTGTGCATATGCTAGGTAAAGAAATGAAAATTTATTTTTTATAGCCAGAAAGTTTTGGCTTCTTTCTCTATTTGAAGAAACAACAAAATAAAGATGACACTTTAGTTTATGTACAAGGTATCGTAAGCGTCTTTGGAACTTCAACACCAATTGCTCACAATCTTCCCCTTTACTCCAAATTCGAACTTTCTCCAAAACTTCAGTATTCACATGGATGACTCATGCAACAACATCCTATGCTCTCCAACAATTTCTTCCTTCCACTCTACCTCAGTTATTCAATCTCTTCACCTGTATCAGATACTGTAACATTCCAAAAGTACAAATTAAAATCCCACTTTAAACCATGGGGTCACGATGAGTCAGAATTTACTCCACGGCAACAGGTTTACTTATGGTCCCTGGGTGCCACAAATGGTTTGCACTTGACTACAAACCTAAAGATTGGTGGATCGAAGTCACCCAGCAGCACCACATGAGAAAGGCCTGGCAAACTACTTCCGTAAAGATTACAGCCAAGAAAACCCTACAGAGCAGTTCTACTCTAACACATGGGGTCACGATGAGTCAGAATCGACTGGATGGCAACGGGCTTTATTTGTTTAAACCATACTCTCCTATCCTTCTAGCTCACTTGCTTAAGTATCTCTTTAGAAACAACTAAGCAACCTAACAGTATAGGCAGCAATACTGTTAAGTTTTTCTGCTGGGCTCACTTCACCACCCTTCACAATAATTCTATACCTATTCCACTCTGTCTCCATCTCTCTGTTGACAGCCTTACCTTATGCTTACAGATAACTTATTTTGCCACCACCAAATGAATAAGGAAGACCAAAGAAGAACTGATGCCTTTGAATTGTAGCATTGGTGAAGAATACTGAATACACCATGGACTGCCAGAAGAACGAACAAATCTGTATTGGAAGAACTACAGCCAGAATGCTCCTTAAAGGCAAGGAAGGTGAGACTTCATCTCACATAGTTTGGACATGTTATCAGGAGGGACCAGTCCCTGGAGAAGGACTTCATCCTTGGTAAAGTGGAAGGTCAGTGAAAAAGAGAAAGAACCTCAACAAGACAGACGGACACAGGGGCTGCAACAATGGGCTCAAGCATAATGATTGTAAGAATGGTGCAGGACCGGGCAGTGTTCATTCTGCTGTACACAAGGATGCTGTAAGTTGGAACTGACTTGATGGCACCTAAAAACAACAACAAATAAATAATCCTACTTTCTAATACAGCAGGTATATGAATGAATCCGTCTTTTTTTTATCCTTCCCACTGTAATAGAGGAAATGTTCTCTTAAAAGCCCTGTACATGCAGCAGTGAATAAGAAAGAAACAATGGCTCTGCTCTTACTTGAGGAAAGCTTACATAAAAGGGAGAACAGTAAAGTAATGCATAAAGTTGCCTCACAGCAACCCTATAGGACAGAGCAGAACCATCCCATAGGGTTTCCAAGGCTGTAATCTTTACAGAAACAGACTGCCACATCATTCCCCTGAAGAGTGGCTGGTGGGTTCAAACCACCGGCCTTTCAGTTAGCAGCTGAGCACTTAACCACTATGCACCAGGGCTCCTTAATACGTATGAATACATACATACATGTGTTTATACATATATACACATACACATAAACGAACAATATGATTTCAAAGTTACTCGTGCTATCAAGGCAGGGGAGGGGTGATGTGGCAGAATGCCTTATTCACTGCCAAATATTGCTATAAGCTCCCACTACCACATCAGTCTACCCACCAGTACTCACTCACATACTCTACCTTTCTTCATGTTACCATAGAACACGGGCGTCAGCAAACTTCTTCTGTTAAGGGCCAGGCAGTTAATATTTTTTGTTTTGTAGGCTATACAATCTCTGTCATAACTGTTCAACTCTTGTTATATAGTTCAAAAGCAGCCACAGACAATATATAAACCAATGAGTGTGGCTGTGCGCCAATACAACTTTATTCTGTGGACACGTAAGTTTGAGTTTGATATAATTTTCATGTTACGAAACATTCTTCTTCTTTTATCCATCACCATTTGCAAGTGTAAAAATCACTTCTAGCTTGTGGGTGTTACAAAACCACATTTGGCCTGTAGACCATAGTCTGCTGACCCCCTACTCTAGATGAGGAGCCCTGGTGGCACAGTGGTTAAGAGCTCAGCTGTTAACCAAAAGGTCAGGAGTTCGAATCCACCAGCTGCTCCTTGGAAATCCTACAGAGCAATTCCACTCTGACCTATAGGGTCACTAGGAGTGGGAATCAACTCAATGGCAACTTTTTTTTTTTTTTTTTTTTTGGTACTATAGATGAATAATCTGTCCTAGTTAACACAATCCTTTCACTTGTGGACTAGATCCCATCTTCTCTCACCTTCTCAGGAAGATTGCTCTAGAATTTCTAACCTGTCTCTCCCATTATCAATTCTTCTGTTTTCATCAGACCATTCTCAACAGTATGCAAAAATACTATTATTTCTCCTGTCTTTGAAAAAACAAAACCAACTTCCTTTAAGCCCGTTTTCCCTTCCTACTCTTGTCCTATTTTTCTCCTCTTTGTAGCAAAACTCCTCCTTACTCACTGTCTCCAATTTCTCTTCTCCCAGAAAATTCTCTATTATACCCACTCTGATCAGGCTTTCTCTCATAATACCACACCACCAAATCCAACATAAGAGATGACCACCAGTGAAATACATGTTGTTAAGCTCAATATTCAATTCTCAGTCCTCATCTAATTGAGCCCATCTCAGCTGAATCTGACAAAGCTGATCACTTATTCATTGCTGTATTCTCGATATCCACAGTCATGCCCTGTCACACATAGAAGGTAGTTAATAAGGCTTGCTGAATAACTGACTAATTCCCGGGCATCCTAGCTATTTAACTCACTTATTTTCTGTGGGTTAAAAATACTGCTTGTGGTAGGGAACTCTGATATGGCTCACAATGATCCCTGCCTCCTGGTATTCATGCCATTGTATAAAACTCTTCCCTTGAGTGTAGCCTGGACCCACTGACTTGCTTCTAGCAAATAAAATAGGCAAAAGTGATGGGACATCACTTCCATGACTGTTGTTAGCTGCCACTGAGTTGGCCCCCAACTCATGGTGACCCCATGCACAACGGAACAAATCACTGTCTGGTCCTGCACCATCACTATGATCAGATGGGGGACCAGATTGCTGAGATCCTTAGAATTTTCACTGACTGCTTCTTGGAAGTAGATTGCCAGGCCTTTCTTTCTAGTCCATCTTAGTTTGGAAGCTCCGCTGGCACCTGTTCAGCATCATGGCAATACACAAGCCTCCACTGATAGATGGGTGGTGGCTGCACATGAGGTGCACTGCCCAGAAACTGAACCTGAGTCTACCACATGGAAGGTAAGAATTCTACCACTAAACCACCACTGTCCCCATAGCCACTGCCCCCATAATCATTTCCATGATCAGATTACAAAATACTGTGACTTCCATCTCAGTGTTTTCTCTCCATGCATCCTTTTGCATGCTTGCTCTGATGGAGAGGGCCACCTGGCAAGGAACTGAGGGCGGCCTTCAGCCATCAGCCAAGAAGGAACCAAGGGCTGCCATTCAACTGCCCATGAGGAAATAAATTTTGTCAACATTCACTGAGTGAGCTTGGAAATAGATTCTACCCCAGGTGAAAGATGACTGTGGCCCCAGACAACATCTTGATTACAGTCTCATGACAAATCCTGAAGTAGAGGGCCTAGCTAAGCCATGCTTTGATTCCCAACTCACAGAAACTGTGGGATAATAAATATGTATTGTTTTACGTCACTAAGTTCTGGAGTACTCAGTCACACAGCAATAAATAATTAATATGCTCCACTTCTGCCCATAATGAAATGAGACACCAGAGTTCAACTCCTGACGATAACTTCCTACCCAAACTATAGAACAGTTTTGTTTGTTTGCATGTTTGTTTTATCTCATGAAGCCTCAGTTTCAATAATTTTAAAATAGAAATACTACCTACCAGGTTAAGTATGTCTGAGGAGTAAATGACATTTTGTAATTCATACAAAGAACCTAGCCAGAGCCTAACACATAGTAGGCAATTAATAAATCGTAGTTTTAATCAGAGATCACATATGACTTTCACCTAATTATCACTAAATGGTAGGCCTTTCAAATCCTTTTGAGAATCACATGAGCTGTTTAAAAGTTAAACTTAAAATAAAAACAAACCGTGAAGTATAATATCTCTGTCACAAGGGAAGAAATCAAATATTTGAAAAGACAAATAATTTTCCTATAAACTGAGTCTCTTCTTTCACTGGGAAAAAATTAAATGATTTTTTAAAAACTTAAGAAGCCTACTTTGTCAGCAGCTGTCTCAGGAAGAGATTCTTCAATGCCAAGTTCTCGTCGTCTTTCAGCCCTAACTTCTGCATAACTAAAAAAAAAAAAAAAAAAAAAATTAGTACGTGGTCATGCATTTAGAATACTGCACAGAGTTGCAAACATTCAGTGTTTGCTATGTGTCACAACTATTCATTACTAATGCTAGACTATTTTCTATGCTCTATGCAAATCTAAAACATATCTGCAGTGTACTGTCTTAACTCAATTTGCATTTTTGTAAGTATCTTAAAGTTGTAGATGTTACTGCAAATGCTCCATAACTACACAGTATTTAAATTACAAACACTAAGTAAAGGGACAGTATGCTTATCTATTCCAGTTTTTCTTTTACAATGATTGACCCTGGCACATAAATTAGTTACATTTCTGCTCTAAAATATAAAATTTATGCCAAGAATTATACACATTCTATATACCTGTATTATACTTCTACATAGCACCGATTCAGTAAATTTAATAGTATACAGAAAGGATGTATTAAAAAATGAAAAAAAATCACTCTGTAATTCATTAACTAGCTACATATAAAAACTGTATGGCCAAAATTATTGTAAAATGTTACAGTAGTTCAGAATTTCTCTAAAAGGATTATTACCTTACTACAGTGTGAGTACAAACAATAAACTCTGGCCTTGAATTCCACTGATGATAAGTGATATAATAATGAGTTTGAAGCCAAATCCACTGTTGTCCTTTAGTCAGGAACCTATAATAACATGATTTGCCTTTCCCATATTGCATTACTAAGAAGAAAAGAGAAACATATTTTTCTTTGATCCATATTATTAATTATTAAGAATCTATTTCTAACCAAAGGCTATCATTCACATTTAAAGCTACCTACAATTATTTTTATGGCTTTTCAATAACATACATTAATTATAAAAACACGCTATACTTACACAGTTTAAGGACCCAAGCAATTAACAGATCTTCCACCAAAGTGCCCAACTTAATGACCAGTTGTTGCTATATACAAGCAGAGGAAGAGAGGGGCAATCTTCCATACTTTTCATGCACAATAAACTTCCAAATATTTAAGAATAAATTATTCACCTTGTTGACTTCCTCCTGCTCAGATATGCTTAGGGTAATGTAGTAATACGTTAACCACACCAGGGTTTTTTTTTTCCCCACAGGTACCCTGGTAGGGAAGGCATCTTTGAGACATTTAAGTCTACACCTTAACTAACACAAATCAGAATAACTTGCTTAAAGTAACTGTTCAGTGCAAGATTTTCCAAAGAATGCTCTGTAGATTGTAAGTTTGAAGACTTTTAACGGATTTTAAGCAAAAAATGGGTTCTGTGGTTAAAGTAATTTGGGAAGCTCTTTGTTTAAATACATTTCTTTAGTCTTCTCAAAACCTTCAGTATGCTAATGTATGCCAAGATTCTCTAAGAGAGAGAGATTATGAAGTGTTTCCCAGACTTCACTGACCATAAAATCCTTTTTAATGGACTCGCATTCAGTGAACACATCTTAGAAAATACTGTTCTGGAATTTCTCTCTCTCTATTAATGAGGACATTAAATCACTTGTCCAAAATTACACAGCTAGTTAACAGAAGTATCAGGTCTTCTCACTAAACCTTGCTGCCGACTGCTTACATCACTTGGAATGAAATCACTTTGGGGCTGCAATGAGTTTACTCTTAAAAATTTTCCATATACAGGCAGTCCGTGGGTTATGAACGTCCAACTTACGTACAACCCGTAGTTACAAACCAAACCCGTAAAGCCTATTATTATATTAAAAATTTGAGGTACATACAATGATTTGAGTAACAAACAGGTGCTACTTTGCAAGGCACATCAAAACATTATTATTATTACTGTATGTCTTAATCATCTAGTGCTGCTATAACAGAAATACCACAAACGGATGGCTTTAACAAAGAGAAATTTATTTTCTCACAGTGTAGTAGGCTAGAAGTCCAAATTCAGGGTGTCAGCTCCAGGGGAAGGCCTTTTTTGTCAGCTCTGGAGGAAGGTCCTTGTTATCAGTCTTCCCTTGGTCTGGGAGCATCCGGCGTAGGAACCTCAGGTCCAAAGGACATGCTCCGCTCCCGGCACTGCTTTCTTGGTGGTATGAGGTCCCCGTGTCTCTCTGGCTTAATTCTCTTTTTTATATCTCAAAAGAGATTAGCTTAAGACACTAATCTTGTAGATCTTATCGATACAACTGCCACTAATCCATCTCATTACATCATAGTGACAGGATTTACAACACATGGGGAAATCACATCAGATGACAAAATGGTAGACAATCATACTGGGAATTATGACCTAGCCAAGTTGACACATATTTTTAGGGGACACAATTGAATCCACAACACTGTATTATTATGCTAAAGATGTTGTTTTGGTTATTGAGTGCTGCTATAACAGAAACACTACAAGCAGATGGCTTTAACAAACAAATTTATTCTCTCATAGTGTAGGAGGCTAGAAGTCTGGTAACAAGGTGCTAGCCTTTCTCTCTCTGTCAGCTGTGGGGGAAAGTCTTTGTCTCCTTTCAACGTCTGTGGGCCCGGCTTTCCTTGGAAATCTCCATGTGTCTTGGCATCGATATTCCCGTGGGTCTAGGAGGTTCTCAGTGCAGGGACCCTGGGTCAAAAGGATGAGCTCCACTCCAGGCTCTTCCTTCCTGGTGCTAGTAGGTCCCTCTCTCTCTGCTTGCTTCTCTCTCCTTTTATCTCTTGTAAGATAAAAGGTGATGCAGGCTATACCCCAGAGATACTCCCCTTACATCAGATCAGGGCTGTAACCTGAGTAAGGGTGTTGCATCCCACCCTAATCTCCTTATAACTGATTGGCTGATCACATTATGAGGGATGATTACATCATTACATGACTGCCAAATTACTGAGAATCATGGCCCAGCCAAGCTAACACATATTTTGGGAGGACATAACTCAATCCATGACATTCTACCCTCTGTCCCCCCAAAATTCAAGTCCTTGCCACATGCAAAACACACTCACCCCATCATATCATCCCAAAAGTGTTAAATCAACTCTAAATCCAAATTCCATCCTCAGGAAAAATTCCTCTTCATCTATGAACCTGTGAAATCTAGAATACAAGTTATCTGCTTCCAAAGTACAATGGTAGAACAGGTACAAGGCAGACATTTCCATTACAAATGGGAGAAATTGGAGGGAAAGAAGAGATAATGGGCACTAAGCAAGTGAAAAACCCAGCAAAACAATTTACATTAGCTCTCAAGGCTTGAAAATAATCCTCTGTTCTCTGAGACCATTTAGGCAGTGACCTTGCTCTCCAGACTCTGGGTGTTGGCCACTCCCTCTGGATTCTGGGTGGAGGTCCCTTGGCCCCGGGCTTGAGCCCCGCCTTCCAGGCCCACTGGGACGGCAACTCTGCTTCCTTGGCTTTGAGTAGCCTCATTCTCCTAGTTCAACTGACGACTCCACTCCTTTGCCCCCAGCAGACCCCACTCTTTTGCCCCTTGGGTATGGCAGCTCCGCCCCCTCAGCTTTGGGCAGGGGATCCGGCTCCATCCTCTGGCACTCGTGAATGGCAGCCCCACACTCTGGGACCAAGCAGGTGAAGATATGAATCTTTGAAACCTAGAAGGCTGTGGCCTCACCCTTTGAAGCCCCCGAGGGCAGACCAAGGCAGATCTGCTTCCTAAGCTCCTTGTCTCTTCAGCTTCTGCATTCTGGTTCTTTGGCCTCTCAGCCCCTTGCCCTCTTGGGCCGGCCTGGCCTCTGCCCTGCTCGGACAAGTGTTACAAAGCTCTTTAGTTCTACTGGTAAGTGCCCGAAGGCATCCCACTCTGCCAGTAAGCCTTGGCCTGACGGCACTCAGTTCTCTCACTCCATGGGTTGGCGAGCCTAATTCCACTAGTAAGTGCCCAGAGGCACCCTACTCTGCCAGGAAGCCTCCTGCCCGAAGGCACTCAGCTCTCTCACTCCATGGGTTGCATTCTGAGACATCTTGTGCCAGTTTCCTGGTTCTGCTGCCACCATTTCTCTGCTGCTGCTCCTCGTCATCTGCACTGTCTCTGGTGTTACAGCTCTCCTCGCTTCCTTCTGAGCCATCACCAGAACTGCCTTTGACATCCATAATTCCACCAATAGTTTTCCAAAGTAATGTAGGCTTTTACTATTAGGCACCTTAAAACTCTTCCAGCCTCTACCTATTCACAGTTTCAAAACCACTTCCATATTTTAGGTATTTAGCAGCACATCACTCCTGGTACCAAATTCTCAGTTACCTAGTGTTGCTATAACAGAAATACTACAAGTTTTAACACACAGAAACTTATTCTCTCACGGTTTAGGAGGCTAAAAGTTTGAATTCAAGGCGCCAGCTATAGGGGAAGGCTTTCTCTGTCAGCTCTAGGGTAAGGTCCTTGTCTCCTTTCAACATCTGTGGGCCTGGCTTTCCTTGGAAATCTCCATGTGTCTTGGCATCAATCTTCCCGTGGGTGTGGGAGGTTCTCAGTGCAGGGACCCTGGATCCAAAGGATGCGCTCTGCTCCTGGATCTTCCTTCTTGGTGGTAGTAGGTTCCTCTCTCTCTGTTCGCTTCTCTCTCCTTTTATCGCTTTTAAGACGAAAGGTGATGCAGGCCACACTCCAGGGAAACTCCTCTTACGTCAGATCAGGGCTGTGACCTGAGTAAGGGTGCTGCATCCCACCCTAATCCCATTACAAGTGATTGGCTGATCACATCAGATCACGTCATCGGGGATGATGACATCATTACATAACTGCCAAATTACTAAGAATCACGGCCCAGCCAAGCTGACACATATCCATGACAGATATTTTAGTGTATCTAGAAGTGTTTTTTATGCATTGAAAGGTACACTAAATAAAATATATTAAGACAAACATATTACTAACTGATGTTAGATACAAACCGTACCTAATTGTTCAAACGCAATTTAAAGACAGACTTAGGAATGGGACTCGTTCATAATCTGGGGGCTGTGTGTAGTTGATGCTATTATAGAACATGCTTTATTTTTACACAGAGAAGTTTATTTGACCAGCATAAGACATAATGAAAGTATCTTAATTATCTAATTAAGCTTAGAGGACACCCAAGAAAGTAAAATTTTGTGGGGAGGATCACAGAAGCAAATAATCTGAAACAAAGAATGAACAGCAGTGTGGTAAAGGGTTGGGCCTAAATTCTAATCCTGGCTCTACCACCAACAAGCTATGGGACTGTGGGTAAATCAGCCCTACTGTGTCTCAGTTTACTCATGAAAATAACAATAGTACCTACCTTCTAGAAATGTGGTGATGAATGATGGAAATAATATACGTAATGAGCTTAGAACAATGCCTGGCAATATGAGATAATAATGCTGCTGCTGCTAATAATAACAACAATATAACTGTAGGTAACATTAAATGAGCACTTACTATGAGCTTTCTAAAATAAATTCTCTAAATATATATATCTAATTCCTGGGCTGACTTACATGCCTGGAAATTAAAATTTATGAAACAGTATTCCAACAGTTTGATGTACTATTACATTTTTCAAAGAAATCTACTTCACTTACTCCAGGTATAGAGTATATACAGTTCAGAACAAGGTTTATTACATGCCATATTATAAAATGGTACCTACTATTATAGAATACGTAAAATATAACAAGTTTAATTTAAACTTTCTCTATGATTCCTACTGGATTAGTTTATAAGTAAAATCTTCCAGTACATTTCAAAAATACAAAAAAGGTTATAAATCTGTATTTTCCCACTTTCTCACCTTCTATTAATAGGACATTAATAATAGGAAAGAAATAGAATTTCTGCTTATATGATTCAAAAACAGTTATGATCACCGGAAATATTAAAATCTACTTACAGTGCTCATGACATTTTGCCAAATTTTCTAGGTCATCCACATGATAGTAATCATAGCCCGATGTTCCCAGAACTTCAAATGGCAAATATCCTATTATGGGTGGTGCCCTAAATTACACATAAAACAGTATTTTAACTTTTCTGCAACAGGAAATACTCTGAATAGAAATCAATTCTTTAAAAAAAAAAATTTGGCCTTTACTTTTTAAGAAATGGATAATGGGTTTCCAAGTCCTCATTAGGAAAAAAGTTTGTCCTTGAAGCCCATTAAGTTCAATAATTATGACTATTATCCCTTTATGGAATTTAAAAATAGAGTTACCTGTGATCTAGAAATAGAAATTTCCATTCTAAACTATGTCTAGAAGTAAACTCTTCATTGGGTTCTTCAACAGTGCACATTTCCTATAAACAAATTAATAATTAAAATTTAGAAATACTTTCCTGTGTCCTTAGAAGAATCTTAACTATCGCTTGCTTGGTCATTATTAGACAACTTCTCCCTACGCAAGTTATTAGCGCATTTTAATTTTCTAATATTAAAGATTATGGCAATAAATAACTCTTTGATGCAGGCTTTTGGGGGAGTACTTCTCACTCTCTAAAGTAATTTCAGTCACTCATACATGCCAGTAAACCCTGGTTCTGAATTCAGACCTCTCTCCTGAATACTACAGTTCCATATTTCTGTCTAGTTGATACTTCTAGCTGGATGTCACCATGCATTGCAACTCATTATGTCCTAAAAGGAACTGCCTTATTCCCCACACCCAGTTACACAATTTTCCATCTCATTTAATGGAGGTATACCTGTCTAGTGGCCAAAGTCTGGCAATCTAGTAGCACAATGCACTCTTTAGTTCTCATCTTCCACCATCAAAATGGTCACCACTAGGTCCTCTTAATTTCACCTGCTAAGTATTTAAACAATTTATTCCATCCCATCCATCTTCACTGCCTTAGTTCAGAGTCTAGACCTTTGCCATCATTGACTCACATTATTCCCACAGCTTCTCCCAAAATAGTCTCTCTGTCCTTCAATTCATCTTTTATACTAGGGCCACAGTTAGCTTAATAATATTCAAATATGATTACGTAGCTTCTCTCCTTAAAAACCTTTCATGGTTTCTTATTCCATTAGATAAAGTTTAAACTCATCAGCACAGAAAAAGAAACAACAAAGAAACGAATTTCATTTCTGGCCTCCACCTACTTTTCTAACCTCATCTTGCACTATCCCCAGCCCTTCCGCAATATTTACCCTAGACTCCAGTAATAGTAAACAATGTATTCCAACCTGCCTCTATGTCCTCGAATGACTTTTGTGTAGCACAGTATAGTAGTTAAGATTTTGGGATTTTAGTCAAAGAGAATAGGAATCAAGTCCTAGTTCTACCATCTACTCACTGAAAGACTTTGGGCAAGCATTTTAACTTCTGTATGTCTCAGTTTCCTTAAATATAAAATGGGGATCATATTAGCATCTATCTCATAGGGTTGTTATGAGAATTAAATGAGATAATGCATGTAAAATACAGAGGATGCAGTAAGAACTGAGAAGAAGCCATGGTGGCACAGTGGTTAAGTACTCAGCTGCTAACCAAAAAGGTAAGCAGTTCAACTCCACCGGCCGCTTCGCAGGAGAAAGACGTGGCAGTCTCCTTCCAAGAAGATTACAGTCTAGGAAACCCTATAGGGTAGTTCTACTCTGTCCTTTAGGGTCGTTATGAGTCAGAATCAACTCGAAGGCAACAAGTATGGGTAGAAAGAAATCAATAAATATTTCCTAAGGTCAAAAGAAGCAGAGCAAGACGGGTTTAAGATCTCCTAACTGCTAATTTAGTACTTTGTCCTATATAATGGTCTCTCCCCAAATTTGAAATCTTAGGATGGCTTCTGCTTTCCAGCCACTTTCTGTGGTTGAACTATCTCACTTTCCTACTCCTCTACTAATCACCTGTTAGTTGGGCCCAGGAAAGGAAACATTGAAAATTTGAAAAGGTAAACTCTCCTTGTTAAAAGTCACTTGTATATTTTAAAAGTAAATTTAAAAAATAATCTTTCAAAAATTATCTAGATTATAGCTTTTCCCTTAACTATAAAAAGAGCATCCTAAAATTCTGCACAAAGGTTGGATAATGGTAATATATAACCACTGATTAATTGCAAAGGATGTATACTAAAACTTTTAGTTACGTAATTTTATGAGTGTCTTAATAACTTTCATTATTTGCTTCAAAAATATCATGCTCATGCATATTTAATGATTCATGACCATGGCTACTTTAATGTTTGCAGGAAGTTTCAGTCATTCTAGAAACAAACAAAATTACATACAGTCCTGAGGATGTACTGGGTTGAATAGTGTCCCTTCCCTAAAATTCATGTCCACCCAGAACCTTAGGATGTGACCTTATTTGGAAATAGGGTCTTTGCAGATGTAATTAGCTAAGATAAGGTCATACTGGATTAGGATGGGCCCTAAATCCAATGATGGCATCCTTATAAGAAGGCCATGTGAAGAAACACAGGGAAGAAGGCCATGGGACGATGGAGGCAGGGACTGGAGTGATGCAACTATAAGCCAAGGAATGCCAAGGACTGCCTGCAACCACCAAACGCCAGGGATAGGCAAGGAAAGATTCTTCCCTAGAGCCTTCGGAAGGAACAAGCCCTGCCAAACACCTTGATTTCAGACTTCTAGCCTCCTAAACTGTTAAGAATAAGTTACTGTTGTTTTAAGCCACCCAGTTCATGGTAATTTGTTATGGCAGTCCTACTGAACTAATACATATGTATGATTCAAAATCCCTTTTGGGATATAAAATTAGAAACGTACCTTGATGAACTGAGGTGTAGCTAACCTGACAGTAGCTACAAAACATACTCTATCTTCATAAGAAGGCCTGTGTGTGCGTTGTATAGGTCCTTCAAAACCATTGTGCGCTGAAGTAGACGCTAAAACAATAAGGAAATATGTTTCATTGTTAATTCACCTAGTTTTTATCTGATGTCTAAACTTCTATGTCTTTAAGAGTGTAAAAGAAAACCAAGTCAAAATTACACTTTAAGAGAAGGATTTTTAACTTACCACTGTTTAAAGATTTGAAATTTCCTATGAATTTCACATATTCATAGGTTGCTGGTTCCTTTGGGTCTATAGTTCCTCGAAGCATATGACAACAGAATTCTAACTGATTTTTTGCTGAAACAACAGAAAAATATAATGTACTTCAAAGAAAGGTTTTGCTTACCATTCTAAAGCTAACACTTCCATCTCTACCTTAAACAGTCTTTACTATCTTCTCTAGGTTTGGGGCCACACCACTGTTATTCATTCCTCTAGCATCTACATATTCTCTTCTTTGGTTCTTTACTTTCCACTTTTAAATTTGCTCAGGTCTTCCCGTCTCAAACAAGGTTGTTCATGCTACTCTTTTTAGTAACATAGATCTCCTTTGTTTTCCTTATGTACTTCAGTTTCCATATATTAATTACCCTTAACTTCACGCATGGTGGCTCTTACCACTCTACAAAAATTGCTCTCCTAAAGGCTTCCAACGTTTGTACTGTCAGCCTCAATGGTCTTTCCTCATTGCTTCCACCTCTTAAAGCCAACACTTCTTCATTCCCACAGCATGAAACTTACCTTCCTACCTCACTGACTACTCCTATCTCTTTCTGCTAGTACAACTTCAACCTGTGGGCATTCACAAAGGTTCTTTTAGTCTTGATCGTTTGCTATCCTTTACAAACTTACTGGCTTTGGCAAGATTTTTACTTCTAGATCTTTCCCCAACTCTAACATTTCATGTAAGACCAAGTCTCATATCAACACTTGCTTTCAGGACATTTCCACTTGACTGTGTACCATCAGCAACTTAAACTCAAAATATTCAAAGTGAACTTACCCTTTCTTCCTAAACTGTGCTTCCCCTTTATCCTATTTGTGTTTATCTTCCAAGTTAGAAACCATATCAATTTTGTCTGTTCTCTTTCCGTCACAAGTCCCAAATCTAATCTGTAACTATTGTTATTAGGTGCAGTCGAGTTGGTTCCAACTCACAGAGACCCTGTGCTACAGCAGAACGAAACACTGTCTGGTCCTGTGTCATCCTCAATCTTTGCTATGTTTGAGTTCACTGTTGCAGCCACTGTGTCAATCCATCTCGTCAACGGTCTTCCTCTTTTTCGCTGACTCGCTAACTTTTCCAAGCATGATATCCTTCTCCAGGGACTCGTCCCTCCTGATAACATGTCCAAAGTATGTGAGACAAGGTCTTGTCATCCTCCCTTCTAAGGATTCTCGTCATTATCCCGTCTACAGATTCTCCCTTAGAATTTGTACCTAGCACCTGCAATTTATTTCACTGACAAAGCTCTCAAAAGTAACTTTTTCCAACTGAGCACACACTACCACCAATTTATACAGACTGAAATTACTTTGCATCTAGATAAATGCAACAGTTTATTAATTATGCCTCCACACTCAGATATGGCCTTGCCTACTACTCTTAGAATAATATAAGTTTCATCATATCATTTTAGCATTCAAACACTATTAACACCTCTCTTCTGCTCACTGCATCCAGTTTATACTCTTGTGTCATTATTATGATAGATGACTTCATTATCTAATGCAACAGGTTCAAAATCCAACTACCTTCCTCTCCAAACCGTTCCCACTGATGATCCCTATCTACTCGGTGACCTGTGCCTAGCATCAAGTCCTACTGAGTTTATCTACTTAACACACAATTATCCCCTTTCCTCTCCATTCTTACTTCTACTTGCTAGGATTATATAGCTTTACTTTTTGTCTCCAGTCTGGTTCTCTTCCAAATTTTCCACCTGAGTGATTTTTTTCCAGACCATTTCACTGGTTCCTCACTGTGTAAAACAAAAATCAAACTCTGTAGGATAAAACATTCATAATTCTGCCCCTATTTCCTTCTCTAGATACAGACTACACCACCAGTACCACCTCATCTTCATCATGGTCAAAATGATCTCTTGCAAAATTATGAATTTTCCAATTTCCCTTCTGTGTTTTAACTCATGTTTATTCCTTTATCATGAAATACTTTTTTCTGGGAGAACTTTTGTATCAGCTGTTTAAAGAGGGAGTCAGTCAGTCATTTAATTAAGGCTTTTCTCTATCAAAAACTATTGTTGCCATCCTCACTTCTGATTTTAGATACAGGAACCTAAGGTCTGTCTTTCTGCCTGAAGCTTACATTCAGTTCTCTAGGCAATTCTGCCCTTATGAAGGTCTCTAAAGCAGACTCCTTTCTCCTTTGTCCACCTATTGTTACCTTCCAGGATTCTACCCTTCTAATTCTTCTCTCATTGCCCTATATATTTACCTCAAGCAATGTCATTCAATGCCATGACCTCACATACTATTCATAGGCATGTAACTGGCCTCTACATCAATTATATCCAGCCCAAATCATTCTCCCAAGCACTAGACTCGAATGGCCTACTGTTGTTGTTAGTTGCCATCAGGGTCACTGCAACCCCATGTATGCTGAGTAGGACTGCTCCACAGGGTTCTCAAGGCTGTGACCTTTCAGAAGCAGATTGCCAGGTCTGTCTTTTGAGATACCCCTGGATGGGTCTGAACTGCCAACCGTTCGGTTAGTAGTCCAGCGCTTAACCATGTGTGCCACTCTCAACTCCCAGAACGGTCTACTAATCAACTTCATAAGAACTTTTAAACAAATATAAAACAGGCTTGAAATGGATTCTCTTGGTCCCTGGCTTTCCTCAACTCCCCTTTACAGACTCTCCTTCCTTATCGAACATATATGTTGTTGTTGTTGTTGTTGTGTACCGCTGAGTCGATTCCAACTCCAAGTGACCCCATGTGACAGAATGGAACTTCTTCATTGGGCTTCCTAGGCTGTAATCTTTACAGGAGCAGACTGCCAGATCTTTTCTCCCACAGAACGGCTGGTGGGTTTGAACTGCCAACCTTTTGGTTAGCAGCCGAGTGCTTAACCATCGTGCCCACCAGAGCTTCTTATCAAACATAGATACATATGTGTACATATATTTGCGTGTATGTGTATACCTCAGTTCTTGGACAGCTAGCAAGCTATAAAATTTGAGGCTTCCTAAAAAACAAAAAATCTTCAAAATGATTAATATCAGTATTATCAGATGTCAAAATTTAAAAAAAATCTTGAAAAGAGTGAGTAAAGAAGATACCTAATAGTTAATGGCTAAATACAGTGTCGTAACAACTTTAAATTTTCCAAAACACAGAAAACAAATATACACAGCAATTCAATGAAGCAAATGAGGTGTTTTGGTCAAATTAAGTTGTCCAATGAATCTAGCAGAAATGTCTGATTATATCATAATATTCCGTGCTTCTTGATGGCAGGGATTATTTTTCACTATTCTTAGCATTTTTTATAACATAGCACAATTGTCTGGTACATTAGATACATCTAATAAATGACTGTTTAACTCTGTTTAATAAATAAAGTGGTTCCTTCATTTAATAATTGAAAAAGAAATACAAAAGTTATATTTTCCTCATAGTTTGTCTAATTGGTTAATGAAGGGGGAGGGGAATGAGAATATTTAATTTTCTCACATTAAATAAAAAAGGATTTTATTTAAAAATTAGTAAGAATATATTACCAGGTTACATTTTTGCATAAAATATAATTTTGTGGCATAACTATGATCCAGATTTATTATAACAAGCAAGATGTAATTTCAAGGATCTAATAGGGTACATGAACAATGTCCTACGTTTAGTTAAACTTGTATGTGTTTGTCATAAAGTTACAAAAGTAAAGGATAAATATCGTCTTTCAAAAATAAAATTTTACTTTTTGCTTAACAGCCACTACTTACATTTTAAATATTCGGGGGTTAATGAATCACTTTCCAGCAGATGCGTAGACAGTATTTTATAAACCTCTGAATGTTCTCCCTCTGGGATAAAATTAAATATACTTTGATCCACAAGATCAGACTGAAAAAGAAATTAAAAAAAAAAAGTAAAATGATTTTAATGATTCCAGAGACATTTATTTTAAAAGTATATAATCACTATAAAAACATTAGAGGAGCAAATGACTCAATTAACTGAAAAAACTGACAAATGTCAAGTTAAGGACCACATCTCAAAAAACGAAGACAAGCTGAAAAGTTGTAAGAAGATTAAAATGACCTTTATACCTCTCACACCAGTGCCATTAGATCCATGATCAATATGACCTTGAAAGCTTCATGATTTGCAAAGCTGAGCTGCACTAAATCTGAACACTTTAAAATACAACAGAACTAAGAGAGTTGATTAGAAAAATGTTTGCCAAAGAGGCCTATCCTTATTGTATAGTCAAACCTCTAGAGCCCTGGTGGCACAGTGGTTAAGAGCCTGACTGCTAACCAAAGGTCAGCAGTTCAAATCCATCAGCTGCTCCTTGGAAACCCTATGGGGCGTTCTACTCTGTCCTATAAGGTCACTATGAGTCGGAATCGACTCGACGGCACACAATAAGAAAAGTACACTACAGTGGTATGTCTACGACAAAGGACTAGCTAAAGGCTAAACAAAGAGAAGATTTGACTTTGGTGTTACTTCAATTACCAAATGTGTCCTTTATTTCTTATTTAAGCTTTTCCAGGCATCTATCCTATATCCCACTGTCAAAAAGTTTTGCTTTTAGCTAACTAAAAAAAGGCAACCAATACGTTAAGCATTATGATCCTTGCTAAAATACAGCTTTTAATCATTAGTCATTAATCAACAGTAATTCGACAAACATCAGGTTGCCTACAGTGTGTCAGGGATTGTGGACTCAAAGATGAGTAAGAGTTCCGCTCCTTATGTATTATTAACAACAAAATTTCAGTGATTTTCCATTTCCTACAGGATCCAGTCCATTCTATTTGGTTTCTACATTTTCAAATTGCTCTGTGGAATCCTGGGGATCCTGAATAGTATCTCAAGGACTGTGGAGGTAAGGGTGGTGGGCAGGGAAGTGTAAAGGTGCTATGGAGGCAGGGTTTGGGGTGCTTCCCCTACACCCAACCAAAGCAGTTTAACTTTTATTTTGTCTATATTTTAAACATCTGTAAAAATTTTGTTTAAAGAACTCCACTGCTAAAAAGAAAAGAAAAGCAAAACAAAACCCACTATTGAGCTACTGGAGATGGCTGGGGGTAGGAAAAGGGTGTTTTACTACTCTTCACACAAGCCACTCATTCACATTTTTTCTTCTGTCTTTAGTCCTCAAAGTTTAGTTGTCCTTACACTAAACTGTGCACAATTAAGTCTACTCCCTCTGGGTTTCATGTTTCTTGCTAATAACTTGAATCCTCGTACTGAAGTGAATGACCTTACAAATTTGTCACAGCAAATAAATAAACCCATAAATTTCCTTTCTAATCTCAAAATGAATTAAGCATTTATGCCAGCTTATTAGCCAAAAATAATAAGTTAAAATATGCCTAAATTAGTTTCATTAGTATGAGGTGACAAAGTTAAGAAAACGGTTTTTTGCAGGGCTTATCGAATCAGTCTTATAATTGAAATTTTAAATTTTAAATCATATGGACCACTGATTAAGATAACAAGTTTTAATTTATCAACAGAACAGTATTATAAACACACCTAAGCCTAATTTAGGTGTTTGCTAATTTCTCTTCCCTCTGGGTAGCAGACGAAATTCTACTTTCAGACAAAACAAATAAGTACAGGTAGGCCCCGATTTACGAAGTATTCAAGTTATGACAAACTGCACTTATGACCTCTTTTTTTTTGGAGGAGGGGTACATCTTATTGTCAGTAATATGTACTACGTACGATCTTGCAGTGCATAATTTGCTGATGTGATCATTCTCAGATGTTCAATAGCAGATGTTCAAAAAATCAGATTTATAAAGATATTGATTAAAAAAAGACAATAATAATGAAAACTTAAAAAAAAACAAAAAGAGGTATTTGACTTACATCAGCACCAACTTACGATGGAGTCGCTGGAACAGAACCCCATTGTAAGTTGGGGACTACTTCTATATTAAAACACAAAAAAGGGAGCACTATTGTTTTAAACCTTTTGTTTAGCACCTGTTACAGTTTAATTATTATTAATGACAACCCAGAACAACAAAAAAAAAAACCACTTACATAAATTTTTCTTATTGTGATTGATCCTAAACAAGGATTGTTTAGTTTTCTCAAAACAAGGCATTCTGTTTTCAAACATCAAATAACATACAATTCAGCAATGTCAGTGATATAAACTATCCACAGTAACTGCAGAGCAGCAAAAAATTGTTTTAGAAGTATATACTATTATCACAGTATAGAACTAAATAAGTCTACTGGATGAGCAGCAGTGGTCATCTCCCCTGCCCAAAAACTCACCTGCCAGCCTATATCCACTGGCTGACACAATCAATGAAAAAGATCCAGAAGATGGTAATGACAGCGGAAACTAGGTGTGCAAAATGTGGGAATTCTCTATACTATCTTCTCAACTTTTCTGTGAATCTAAAACTGCTCTAAAATAAAGGGCTAAGGGGGCAGGGGTGGGGGGAGAGACCCAGGAGGGAATGGGAAGATCAAGAGGGCTTTTATGGTTCCCAACTAGTTCTGTCACATGTTGCCATTTCAAAATGCAATTAGATTTCCCCTCGCTAGGGATCCACCAGTGTGCCATTAAAAACAGATTTTTAAAGACAACCATTCCAAATAGCCTTCTCATTTTCATGCATTCAATAAATAACTGAGTTACCTCTCTGAGAAACAAACCAGCTCCTGTGGGTACAGAGATAAAGTCCCTGTCCTCAAGAAACTTACAACTACACTAAGCATTCGAATAAACAGAGAATTACAATTCACTGTAAGTGTCATGATGGTAGCATGTATAAGGTAACACAAGAACAGGAAAGAGGGACAGCTGATTCTGAAATGGAGTTCAAGGAAAGCGTCCAAGAAGCAGGCTTTCTAAAAAGTGTGACCACATTGCAAATGATGCTGTTTATCACTAAAGATTATGGGAAAAAAAAAAAAAAGATAATACAGTTTCTATAAACATATAATTGAAAGAAATATCAATACAATTATGTATGTTTTAAAAGCATACAATTATACTTTATTCCAATTACTTAATCTTATCTTAATCCTATCTTTCTTTCCCTGGGTTGTTTTACTACGCAAATATATATATCTTTAAAGTTGCCCAGAAAATTCAGTTAATTGATCGTTCCTTTTCTCTGCCCACACTATGTATGTTGCTATAATCTCACTCTTTACTCTCAAAACAATTTTTAAATGTTGAGCTCATCACCTACTATTTGGGCTTACTGGAAAAGCAAACATTAAATAATGTCACTATTTACTTATTTACTAATTCAACAAATATTTACTGAACGTTTGTTTTGTGTTAGACATTATTCAAAAGGAAAAAAAACTACTGAGGAAATGCAAGGTTAAACTCATACAATTATTTAAAGATAAAAGTGTTGAGTTTTATAGTTTAAGGTTTTACACTTACATCTATGGTCCATTTTGGCTCAATTTTTGTACATGGTGCTAGGTATGGAATGAGATTCAATTTTTACATATGAACAGCCAACTGTTGCAGCACCATTTGTTGAAAAGTCTATCCTTTTCCAATGAATTGGCTTTACAATTTGGTTGAAAATAAATTGACCATATATACATAGGTCTATTTCTAGACTATTTTGTCCCATTGATCTATATGTCCATTTTTATGTTAACAACTCACTGTCTTGATTGGTGGAGCTATATAAATCTTGAAATCAGGCAGTTAGTCCTCCAACTTTGTTCTTTTTCCAAGTTATTTTGGCTATTCCAAGTCCTTTTATTTCAACTTAAGTTTCAAAATCAGCTTGTCAGTTTCTACCCAAAAGTCTGCTGGGATTTTGACTGGAACCCTGCTGAATTCACAGATCAGTTTAGGGAAAACTGACATCTGAACAATATTGAGTCTTCTGATCCACAAACATGGTAACTGCTCTCCACTTACTTAGGTCTTCTTAATTTTTCACAGCAATATTGTGGAGTTTTCAGAGTACATGTCTTGGAATTTTTTTTTTATCAGACTTACTCCTAAGCATTTTATATTTTTGATCCTACTATATAAACGGCATTGTTTAATTTTAATTTCCAATTCTTCATTGCTAGTATACAGAGTTAAAATGATTTTCGTATATTGATCTGCAACCTTGCTGTCTTAGGCTAGGTTCTCTAGAGGAGTAAAACCAGTGAAGCACATGTATGAATATATATATGTGTGTGTGTGTGTGCGCGTGTACACACACACACACAGAGACATAGAGAGGGAGATTTATTTCAAGGAAATGCCTCACACAGTTGTGGAGGCTGGCAAGTCCCAAATCTGTGAGTCAGACATCAGGCTGGTGGCTTCTCCTGACTCACATGGTTGCAGGGGCTGACAAAATCAAAATCAGCAGGTCAGACGGCAGGCTACTGTCTCACGTCCCAAGAACCAGAGGTCAGATGATGACAAGTCGGATGTAGGATTCAGAGAAGGCAAGCTTTGCCAGAACATCTATATATATATAGGATGCAGGCCACACCCCCAAGGAAACTCTCCTTTCAACTGATGGGCTGCACACATCAGATGACAAAATGAAGGATAATTACATAATACCTGCCAAACCACTGAGAATTATGGCCTAGCCAAACTGACAAATAAACTTTAACCATCACACTTGCTAAACTCACTTACTAGTTCTTGTAGCTTTTTCGTAGGTTCCATAGGATATTTACATAAATGATCGTTTCATCTCTGAATATGGACTTTTTTTTTTCCTTTGTAATCTAGATGGCTTTTGTTTCTTTTTCTGGCCTTAGTACACTGGTTAAAACCTCCAGTACAATGTTGAACACAAGTGGTGAGAGGAGACATTACTGCCTTGTTCCTTATCTGAAAAGGAAAATACTCAGTCTTTCACCTTTAAGTATGATATTAGCTGTAAGTTTTTCATAGAGGCCCTTTAAAAAGGTTGAAGAGGTCCCCTTTATTGCTAGCTTGCTGACAGTTTTCATCAGGAATGGATGCTAGATTTTGTTAAATGCTTTTTCTGCATCTATTAAGATGATCCTATAATTTGTCTTTTTTATTCTGTTAATATAGTTCTACTCTGCACACATTAGGTCGCCATGCATCGGAATCAACTCAATGGCAACTAACAACAGCAGCAACATGTTGAAATACATCACATTCACTGATTTTTCTAATGTTAAACCGACCTGCTTTCCTGAGATAAACCATACTTGGCCATGGTGTATAATTCTTTTTTATATACTGCTGAACATGATTTCCTAAAATTGTGTTAAGAATTTCTGAATCTATGTTCACGAGGTTCTTAGTTTCCAAGTGCTGCTTTAACAAAAAATACCACAAGTGGGTGGCTTTAAAGAACAAAAATCTACTGTGTCACAGTTTGGGAGGATAGATGTCTAAATCAGGGCATTGGCTCTTTGAGGGTCCTTCCTAGTTGGCAGCCCTGTGCTTGACATTCCTTGGCTTATAGATGGTTCCTCACAAGGTCTCTTCTGTGTGTGTTTGTGTGTGTGTGTGTGTGTGCATCTGTGTCTATTTTGCTCTTCTTATCAGACATGACTTAGAAGTGATTACCTTTAGGACTCATCCTACTATGGTCTGATCTCAATAACGTAACAAAAAACTTTATTTCCAAAAATGTTCATATTTACAGGTACAGGGGTTAGGACTTCCAACATAACATTCTGAGGGACACAAATGTCGGTCTGTAATATTGTTTTCTTATGTCTTTGCCTGGTTTGGTATGATAATGCTGACTTCACAGAATGAGCTGGAAAATATTCCTTCCTCTACAATTTTCTGGAGGAGATTTTGTAGAACTGATATTGTTTCTTCCTTACATGTATGGTAGAATTTACCAGTGAAGTCATTTGGGCCAAGAACTTTCTCTGTAGGAGTTTTTAACTAAAAATTCAAATTTTCTATTAGATATAAAACTATCAGGTTATTTATTTCTTCTTGACTATGCAAAGGCATTTGACTGTGTAGATCATAACAAATTATAGATGACACTGCGAAGAATGGGAACTCTAGCACACTTCATTGTGCTCATGCAGAACCTGTACACAGAACAAGAGGCAGTCGTTTAAACAGAACAAGGGGATACTGTGTGGTTTAAAATCAAGAAAAGTGTGTGTCAGGGTTGAATCCTTTCACCATATTTATTCAATCTGTATGCTGAGCAAATAATATGAGAAGCTGGACTCTATGAAGAAGAACACAACATTGGAGGAAGGCTCAATAACAACCTGTGTTATGCAGATGACACAACCTTGCTTTTTGAAAGTGAAGAGGACTCGAGGCACTTACTGATGAAGATCAAAGACTACAGCCCCTTCAGTACTGATTACAGCTCAACATAAAGAAAACAAAAATCTTCACAACTGGACCAGTATGCAACATTAGGATAAATGGAGAAAAGAGAAGTTATCAAGCGTTTCATGTTATTTGGATCCACAATCAACACCCGTGGAACCAGCAGTCAAGGATCAAACAGACCTCTTCAAAGTGTTAAAAAGCAAAAATGACACTTTGAGGACTAACGTGCACCTGACCCAAGCCATGCTATTTTCAATGACTGCCGCATATGTATGTGAAAGCTGGACAATGAATAAGGGAGACCGAATAAGAATTGACGTCTTTGAGTCATGGTGTTGGCAAAGAATGTTGAATATGCCATGGACTGCCAGAAGAACAAACAAATTTGTCTTGGAAGAAGTACAGTCAGAATGCTCCTTAGAAGACAGGATGGTGAGACTTGGCCTTACATACTTTGGACATGTTATCAGGAGGGACCAGTCCCTGGAGAAGGACATTATACTTGGTAAACATAGAGGGTCAGTGAAAAAGAGGAAGACTCTCAACAAGACAGACTGACACAGTGGCTCAAACAAAGCAAAGATTGTGAGGATGGTACAGGACCAGGCAGTGTTTTGTTCTGTCGTACACAAGGTCACTATGAGTCGGAACCAACTTGATGGCACCTAACAACAACAATTTCTTTTTGAGCGAGCTTTGGTAGTTTGTGTCTTTCAAGGAATTTGTCCTTTTTATATAAGTTGTCAATTTACTGGAATGAAGTTGTTCATAATATTCCCTTTGACTGTAGAATCTATAATGAGATAATTTTCTTATATCTGATATTTGTAATTTATATCTTCTCTCTTTTATTCCAATGAATATGGCTACAGGTTTACCTATTTCATTGACCTCAAAGAAGGTTTTCGGTTTCATTAATTTTCCCTATTCTTTTTCTGTTTTCTTGTCACTGATTTCTGCTCTTCTCTTTATTATTTATTTTCTTCGGCATGTCTTTTTTGGTTTAATTGATTCTTTTTCCAGTTTCTTAATGAAAACTTAGGTAATTAATTTGAGACTTTTATTCTTTTCTAATATAGATATCTGGTGTTCTATTCTTAGTGTTTTACCTGCATTCCACAAATTCTTATATGTTCGGCTATCATTTTCATTCAATTCAAAACACTCTCTTATTTAGAATTGTGTTAGTTTTCAAATGTGTACGAACTTTCCAGATTATCTTTTGGTTACTGATTTCTAATTTAATTCCACTGTGCACAGATAACATACTTTGTATGATCTGAATCATACTAAATTTATTAAGACTTGTTTTATGGCTCAGAATATGATTTATCTTGGTAAATGTTCTGTGTAAACTTGAAAATAATGCATGTTCTGTGTTTAAATATAATAAACATGCAAGAAAATAGTATTATAAAAATGAATATTATTAACAGTTAACAAAGTGATACCCAGAAAATTCAGATAACTGGTCTGTCCTATTCTCTGCCCATGCCAGTGTTCTTACAGGTTACTATAATCTCATTCTTAACTTTCAAAGTATTTTTTTAAATAGACTCATCACCTACTATTTAGGCTTACTAGAAAAGAAAGTCATAATTAAAGTTATTATTCATTCATTTACACTCCTCATTCAACAAACATATTTTGAATGTTTACCACACGCATTATTCAAAAGGAAAACAATGCTGAGAAAATCCAAGGTTAATGTCACATGATTATTTTAAAATAAAATGTGATCACCTGAGCTTTTACAAGATAAATCTTGATTTATGTCCCTAGACAAACAGTGAAGTCAAATCATTTTCTCTGTGACACAAATAAATTAGCAAATTACTTACTGCCTGGCTTTCAGTAAGAAAGTGTCTGGCCTTTTATACGTGGAATCCATTCTCTTTATAAAGTATGAAGTAGCTGAATAACCAGAGGGAGATACTGCTTTTCAGTAACTCTTAAAAGAAACCTTTACAGAGCAGTTTACTTTGCACTGTTACATACTTTCAAGAGCTGGGCATTTAGAATATTTATATCACAAGCCCATCTTAAGAGATAAGAACATTACATATTAAATAAAAACTTCAAATTCATAAAAATCATCAACTGTAGCGGAGCACCTAGCATAGTGTCTGGGAAAGAGTAGATGCTCAACAAACACAGGTTGAATAAAAAAAAGCAAACACACAATTCAGGTATTCACTATCCTAATCAAAATCATACGTTTCTTTTCTAATTCTCTACGCTTTCAGTCATATTAATCACGAATTGAATATGGCCACTGTGGTATTATCAGTTCAAGGTAAATAGCATAAAACTTCTGTACCAATTTTAGAAGTCATTCTTTTGAAAGAATTATTTATGAGTGCTCTTAGCTGCAACAAGTACCTCAGTAGAAATTTAGTTATTCTCAGATATTCTCAATGACTCTGCAAGATCGTCACCAGGATGATTAAGAAGGAACCACTGAAAACTTAGCATCAGAATAAGGAATGCAGGAAGAACAGAGGTTAGATAAAGTGGTAGCCAAATATTAAAAGTTACTACAGATTAGAGTCAACTGACCTGACAGAAAACAGCCACACCAAAACAAAGACATACTGAGAGCTCTCATCCCCACCCTAATCAGTGTTCAACACTGCTCTGGAGCTCTATTTCATGGTGCTTTAAAAAGTTTAAAATAGACATTAAATAAGAAAGAGATCATAGGATTTTTATACTTACTGGTAAATGTTCAAGTAATGAAGTTACACTCTCAGACACATATATTATGCCTCCATCTGTCATGATTGCTAAAAAAAAACCATCAAGAGCCTGAAATTAAACATAATGGTCAGTTAAATGAAAATAAAAAAGCATTTCATGTGACAAATAAAAATCTAAGTAAGATAAATGACAGGGCACTTAATGCAACTTATTTGGAAATATTCAGAGAACTGACAGAATGCTAGCTTTTCACTTTACAATACTTCATTATACATCTTTGCGCATTTTAAAATGCTTCTGAAAAAAATTACTCTCTGGCTATCTATTGCACAGTTTCTAAAAGACAGACACTTAATGCTCTACACCTTGATCATATATATATATCATGACTTATTTGAAGATGTTAACATTTCTGAACTACAATGCCATATGTCTTAGGCACACAAAAAACATATCTTCTGGATATGTTAACAGAGATGTACGATTGAGTAGAGGGAGATATACGGGGGATAAAGTAGAAGGGAGTGGTAGGAAATTAAGCTGAAAAACTAGGTTGGGGTGAGATCATGAGAGCCCTTGAGTTAAGACCTACTGACTTTATTCTATATGCAACAGGTAGTCAACACTAGGCTTTAGAGCAGGGAGCTGTGCTTCAACAAAAGTAGTCTGGAAGTCTTAAATCCTTTAAAATGGATTTAGAGAGAAGTGGCTTTTGGAATAGTTGGGGAAGTTAATGAGGATCTGAACAAAATCCGTAGCAGCAGGAATAGAGAAGAAAGGACGTAGAAAAATAGAGAATGTAAAATTAAAGTTCAGGAGAGAAGTCAGAGCAGGGATACAAGACAATAATAAGCCATACCTGTACTTTACATATTATAAAGTATTTTCATTTGAGAATCAGATGTGACAACTGAAGAAATGAGATCTGCAAAAGAAAGAAGCAGGCCAAAGACAAATCCTTGGGGGGAATTATCTACAAAGGGGAAATAGGCAGAGGAAAAACGCCAGAGAAAATAGAATACACTATTGTTAAAGAGCCAGTAGAAGAGAGAATAACAAGGTGAGTGGGGAGGAAGAGAGGTGGCTCAGGATAAAATGAGATAAAATAGGATAAGGAACGAGAAAATGAGAAATGAATTTAGGTTACTTTCAAAACAGTCATTTGAAGTGGGAGGCAAGTCAGACTGCAATGAGTTTAGAAATGAGTGGGTGATCACAAGGCTATTATAAACCACTCTCTCATGAACTTTAGAGGGGAAGAAAAGACAGTAATTTAAAGATGACCAAGTATCGAGGGAAGGCTTTTTTTTTTTAAAAAAAAAAAAAAAACAAGAGTAACTGAAGTATATTTGCAAGCTGAGGGAAAGGAAGATCCAGTGGCGAAGCAGTTGAAGATACAGAGCAGAAAATGTACTTATAAGGGTTGGTCTTCTCCTATCAAGACACTTACTAAATTATCATTTCTTGCTTAATTATCTCTCAAAGGATAGCAACCTCTATGAGGGACTATGTCTATCTTATCACTGTATTTGCGGCACCTAGCAAATATATGGCACACGGTAGCTTATGGAAAAACGCACTCCTCACTCCCTTTATCCCTTATATCAGGGGATAGAGTTACATCTGAGAAAGAACTTATTTGGGGTAGATGCCTAGTTCTAGGATGGCTCAGACAAACCCATTCTTGGCTGATATGGGGGGAGGGGTAGAGATCTCAAAATTTAAGCAAACTCAAAATTACTTTTAAAAACTCCCTAGTACAATAATGTTAATTATGATTATTTGACAAGGAATAAGATCAAAATGATGATAAGAAGAAGAGATGTGCTTTACTCATGTGAAGACAGTGTCATCTTTGGAAGCAAATTAAATATTTACTAAGATGATCTATATTTGCTGTTAAGATATTTGTAAGGAATGGGGATGTAGCTCTCCGTGGAGAGAAGAAACAAATCAGAACTTAGGACTTCATCCCAGTGCAAGACCAGAGCCTGACCTCTCCTCGTTCAAAACAGGCGAAGACTAAACAGAAAAAGCCTCCACCAGCATCTTATAAAAGAAGTCCAGACTCGAGAGGAGGGATGTACCTTCCAAAAAGGTAGGTGGGCACATCAAACTGAATGGGCTTTGAGAAGGGCACTGAGGGGGAAGATTGGAGAGACGTGAAAGAGAAAGTAAGACAGAAAAGGACATCCTCATCCCAAGGCTGAAGACTGTGAAACTCATCCTTTCCTCATATTGGGCATGGTTCACTAGTTAAAACTGCTCATCTTTCCATTTCATATTTACTTGACCTACAATAAAAAGACTCCAGTGTTTGCTTAGTATTTGGTCTAGGGAAAATTGGAATGGAGGTTCTATGGAAAGGAACAGTACCTTCTTTTGGCTGACAAGGCACTAGCTTTTCCCTCTTGTATTACTGGAAAGGGCTACCAACAGTCAAGCGAAAAGAACTACAGACTACTGGATGACTTCACATAGAGATCTGGTCAGGCCAAACTGCCCTGATTTCCTTGCCTACTCCCAATCCTCCAAGAGTAGCAAGAAATACTCCTCATGCAACAGAGACAAAAGGGAGAAGGAAGAGGTGGCAATGGAGGACTGAAGAGAGAGACTCAACACAAATTATAAGTGAATTTTAAGATCTTAGTCCCAGATCTTCCAATGAATAGCTATCTGACGTTGTACAAGTTGCAACTTCTCTGGCCTTATCCATAAAATGAAGAGGTTGAACTGAATGATCGAACCTCTTCTACTAGCAGCTCTAACATTCCAAGACATAGCCTACCTCTGAAACTTTGCTGAAAATTGCATCTGGGCTCCCTATCTGTAATGTGATTAAACATGATTAGCCAAGAGTAACACAACTAGGTTATATTCTAGACAAGTGAACTTCATTCAAACAAAACATTCTACATAAATTATGAATCATATTATTTCCTGTTCAATCAATAGGTTTGGAAAGATTTTAATTAGGCATGTCAAATCAGATTCGAGCAAACATTTGGACCCAGGTTGTAATATATACACACACATATCCTCCATTTTGGCATATTAACTATAGAATGCATATTTACTTCAGAGTTGTAAATATTCACTAAAAGTAAAAACTATCCTTGACATATTCAAAATGATTAATGCAACATTTTTAAGGAATGTGATCCTAAAAACTGTGAGGATAATCATAAGAAAAATTAATTTATATTTTCAAAATTTAATGCTTTTAAAAACTTTTCTCTGTTGTATGTTAAAAATAAATGTCATACTCTCTAAAATCTTTTATTTTTTCTTTGATCATATGCATATATTTACCACACGTCTTGGCTATAATATGGATGGGAGCTTGAAGACATTATGCTGAGTCATGCCAATTACAAAAGGACAAATATTTTATGACCTCACGTATATAAAAAAACAAGAAAAGGCAAATGTACAGAGACCAAAGTTTACGAGTGGTTACCAGGGGTGGGAGGGAGTGAAATGGAGAGGTTAACGGTGATGGAAAAATCACACTGATTAAGGGAAGGGTTGGACAGTCAATTATTTTAACTGCTGTCAGTAAGTTACACATATACCTGCAAAAAGTTGAACTGGCAAAAAGCTCTGTGATAGATATATTTACAACAATGACCAAAAAAAAAAAGAGCAGCTGTTGAGACTGCTTATGTACAACCAAAAATCTCATGGGATTTGGTTCCTTGGTTTGGAGGTTTAGGATCATGGTTTCATGGGATATCCCAGTTAACTGGTCTAATAACATGTTTAGTGCCTCTGTTCTACCTCCTAGTTCATTGCATAGTGCCTGGGGTCTTCAAAGCTTGCAGGCGGCCATCCAAGACATGACAATTGGTCTCTATTCACCTGGAGCAACAAAGGAAGGAAAGTCAGGAATAGAAAGAGGATATGCAATGTGTGGCTAACTGCCTCCAAGAATAACTGCCTCCTTTGCCATGAGACCAGAACTGGATGGTGTCCGGCTGCCATTACTAAACATTCTGATCAAAGAGTCTATAGAAGAATCCTGATCAAAAGGGGAAAAATGTACAACAGAATTTGAAATTCTCACAGACTTCAGACTTTCTGAAGCCATGGGGGCTGGATGAACCCCTGAAACTACTGCCCTGAGATAATCTTTAAAATTTAAGCAAAAAATACTCCCTAAAGTCTTCTTAAAACCAAACAACAGTTTAGCTAAACTAGTACAAACATGTCTGCCTTGAGCATTATGGTCTTTTAAGAACATCTATATGGGATCAAAGTGACAACAGCAACCTGAAAGATTAGTAACCTTAGGGGATGGTGAGTTTATGTTAATGGTGGAGGAACAACTCAAAAAAGGAGGGTAAGAATGGTTGCACAACGAGAAGAATGTAATCAATGTCACTGAATCGTATGCGTAAAAACAGGTGAATTGGTGTACCTTTTGCTGTGTATACTCTCAACAACAGAATTAACTGTCTATTGAAAAGAAAAATTTCAACGTGATACTCTTCTGTTTAGCTTATGTCTTAGTCATCTAGTGCTGCTATAACAGAAATACCACAAATGGATGGTTTTAATGAAGAGAAGTTTATTTCCTCACAGTCAAAGTAGGCTGAAGTCCAAATTCAGGGTGTCAGCTCCAGGGGAAGGCTTTTTCCTCTCTGTCGGCCTTCTTCTCTTCAGTGTTCCCCCAGACTAGGAGCTTCCCAGCGCATGGACCCCGGTCCAAAGGACGCGCTCTGCTCCCGGCACTGCTTTCTTGATGGTATGAGGTCCCCCCGTCTCACTGTTCACCTCTGTCTTTTGTATCTCAAGAGATTGCCTCAGGACACAATCCAGTCTTGCAGATCAGGTCCTGCGTTACTAACCGAACTGCCACACATCCTCCCTCATTAACATAGTAGAGGCAGGTTTACAACATACAGGAAAATCACACAGCACCAGGAATCACGGCCTAGCCAAATTGATACACACATTTTTTGGGGGACATAATTCAAACCATGACAGCTTATTAGGAACAAATAATTTCCTTCATTTAGGCTGTTAATAAATGAGAGTAGACATTATACCAATTTTTGAATTTATAAGAAACTTTTCATACACAGCAAAGTAAGTACTATTAAACA